GAGAGTGGCCTTTGAGGTTTCAAAAGCCCACTCTAAGTCCAGAGTCTCTCTCTTTTTCCTGCCTGTGGATCCAGATGTAGAACTCTCAGCTGTTTCTCCAGCACCATGTCTGCCTGTGTGCTGCCAAGCTTTCCATCATGACAATAATTGACTAAACTTCTGAAATCACAAGCAAGCTGGTTAGTTTTAAATGTCACTTTATCTAGAATAAGCTGGGAAGAGTCCCAGTTGGAGAGTTATTAGATCAGATTGCCCTGTGGGCATGTCTGTGGGGGGTTGCCTGGATCTTTAATAGGCCCAGTTCACTGTGATGGAACCATTCCCTAGGCTGGACCCCAGACTGTACAAATGAAGAAAGCTAGCTGAACAGCAAAGAAGCAGCATAAGTGCATTCATTTCTCTCTGCTCTTGCCTGTGGACATGGTTGACCAGATGTCTCAAGCTCCTGCCTCTGTGATTTACCAATGATGGACTATAACATGGAATAACAAGCCCTTTTCTCTCCCTAAATTGCTTCTTGTCAGGGAATTTTATCATAGCAACAAAATGAAACTACATTACCCTCTGAAGTTGACAAACTGAAAATTTAATCTCTCAGATTGTATGTTAATGGTATTTGAAGACAGGACCTTTCTGAAGTAATTAGGCCACCATGGTAGCATTAGTGGCTTCACAAGAAAAGGAAGAAAGGCCCAAGCTAGCACATTTTCTCTGTCTCACCACATCTGTAGTTGATAAGTTTTTCTTCAGGTCCACCAAGCCCCACCCCCACCCCCGCAGTTCTGCGGCCCACTTATAAAATAATCACTCAGAAGCTCATATTAATTAAAATTGCTTGGCCATTAGCTCAGGCTAACTATTGACTAACTCTTACACTTAAACTCAGCCCATTTCTGTTAACCTATATGTTGCCACATGTTCCGTGGCTTTACCTGTGTGCTGGTTACATGCTGCTCCCTGGCTGGCATCTCTCATTCAGCCTTCCACTTCCCAGAATTCTCTTCTCTGCTTGTCCCACCTATACTTCCTGCCTGCTACTGGCCAATCAGCACTTTATTTATTAACCAATCAGAGCAACATATTCACAGCATAGAGCGATATCCACAGCACACATCTCTGCCCTGCCACAGGGTACCCTCTGTCCTGTCAGAGTACATCAGGAAAGTCTTAGGCAGATGCCATTGCAAGGTCCTGGGCTTCCAGTCAAATAAGCCTAGATTTCATTTTGCTTTGCTTTTTTTTTTTTGGACAGAGACAATCTGGCTACACTGCCAAGGCTTGCCTCAAACTCACTATGTAGCCCAGGCTAGCCTTGAATTGGCAACCCTTCTGCCTCAGCCTCTTAAATGCTGAGACTAAAGATATGTGCCAAATGCCTGACTATTAAACTTATATTTTTCTAATAAGCTATTCAGTTTGGGGCATTTTGTTATAACAACAACAACAAAAAAAAAGACTAGGATAAATACATACATAATCTCCAATGTGACCAGTCCTGGGTGTGTTCAATTAACTTTTACTTAGTTGTCTCTAAATTATATGACAAACTTACTGCCATGTACTCTGGGATTTTATTTGCTATTTGAAAATATCTTAGGATGCGTTCCTAGAATTGAATTGCTTGAATAAAGCAAAGGCGTGGCTCTGTGCAGGTGGAATTTCAGTCATCTACCATAGGGGTGGACCAGATATTTTTACTCTGGAGTTTAGATGTGTCAGACCCAGCTGAGAGAATGATCGTCTTTGGGGCCCATTATTGGCATCTTTGATGCCAAGGAATAGTATTTGTTGATTTGATGGTTTGTTCTTCTCTAAAAGGAAAAGAGAGAGTCCTTGATAGGAAGGTGGCTTCTTGGAACTCAGCCCAGACTCACTGTTTGGATCTTGTCTCCTCTCACTTCTAGAGGAGGATACTGAGAATGGAGACACCTGGGACATCCAGCAGTGGGTTTACCAGAGGTCATGATGGAAAGCCAAGGGAGTTTGGTATTCAGTCCTCAAAGAAACATATGGACTCTGGCCCTACAATCATGTTGTGGTTAATAAGGGAATGGTCTGTGCTAAGATACACAGATTCTTAGTACCATGGATGGATGGTTGGGTGAGTGGATAGATGGATGGATGGATGAGGATGGATGGATGATGGGTGGATGGATGAAGGCTGGATGGATGATGGGTGGAAGGATGGATGGATGGATGCATGGATAATGGGTGGATGGATGATGGGTGGAAAGATGGATGGATGGATGCATGGATGATGGGTGGATGGATGGATGAATAGATGGTTGGATGGATAGATGGATGGATGATGAATGGATGGATGATTACACAGATACATAAATACATAGATGTGGGTAGGTAGTTATCAGTAACTCATGAACTGAAATCTGGTTTGGATTAGGTCTCTACCCGTTAATTATGGGACTTTATGTAACTTCTTGGACCTCCCTTAGCCTCTGTTTCCTTGTCTACACTGAGTTTAAGAGTACCTTTCTTTGGGGGTTATTGTAAATAGCCAATAGATGGTGCCTGGCACACAGTAGGTGCCCAGGGCAGCTGCTATCATTTGTTGTGAGTGGACAGTCTCTGACTGTTGAACCTGTTCAGGGAATAACCCATAAGATAGGAAGTTAGTTGCCAGATAGGACACTGCTTTCTTCCTTCTGCTGAGTGTGCTTTTCACGGGACAGGTTTCTATCTACCCATATTTATTTCTGAGTTGGGAGATCAATCGAGGACCTTCTTATATTTCTATTAACACGATGGAGAAATAAAGAGAAGGAAGGCTGACTGGGCGGTGGTGGCGCACGCCTTTAATCCCAGCACTCAGGAGGCAGAGGCAGGCAGATCTCTGTGAGTTCGAGGCCAGCCTGGTCTACAAAGCGAGTTCCAGGACAAAGCTACACAAAGAAACCCTGTCATGAAAAAAAACAATTAATAATAATAATAATAATAATAATAATAATAATAATAATAATAATAAAGAGAAGGAAGGCAACATCCCCCAGGAGCTAGACTAAAGCTGTAACTGATTTCTAACCCAGCTTTCACTTGCTGTCAGGTCTCATGGGAGTCTTGCTTCAGTGGGGTTTGATACACAGTCTTTCATCCTCCAGCTTCATGGAGCTGAGACCAGAGGCTCTGGCTGCCATCTGCAGTGTGGTAATAAGTCTTTGGCCTTTACTGAGAGCCAGATGGAGGTGTTAAGTCCCCTGCAGTGACTCTGGGAACCACAGACATCTAGGACTTCAGCTGCTGACTGGCTGCTTGGGCTGGAGTCTGGCCTGCCAGCCCAGGAGACAAGCACTGGTTCAGTCTGCCAAAGCAGCTGTCTTAGGCCTCAGCTTTGCCTTCCACTGGGGCCTGGAATTCAACCTCACCTGACCCCACCCCAGCCAGGACTGACTGTTCCCTTCTCTGTGTCCTCTTTGTTTGCAGCTATTAAAGCAAAGTACTCAAGTCGGTTTTAAATGCACCTCTCTTCTTCCTAGAGCAATCTTGTTCTTTTGTTTGTTTGGGATTCTATACAAGCCCAAATCTTTCTTAAATTAGACCTGAAGCTTACTTACATGGCTTTCTACCTAGGAGATTGGCTAGAATTGAAAACACAAATTGGTGGTTTTGAATCCCACTGAGTATATCTCTTTTGATAGAAATAGTTGTGGAAAATCAGGTTATCTAAATTCCTTACTGTAACACTGCTCTCGGGCCGTGGGTTCTTCCATTCTGCACTCAGCCAGTCATCCAACAAACACTGGCTTTTGTGTTCTTATGCCAGGTACGTGGCCTATTTGAATAAAAGGACGTGGGCCAGAAGTCGGTGCTGGTAGCTAATCCATCTGAACACACAGTGCCACATTAGAAATCAACTTACAAGATTTCTTTCTAGGCACGATTTCCTACAGCTTTGAGACCATTTCTATGTTTTAAAAATAATTTTTAAACTCCATATGTGGTGTATGTGTTCATGTGTATTCACACGTGTGTGGGGGCGATGTGTGCACATGGATGCACGTGTGCATCAAGGCCAGAGGTTGGGTGTCTTCCTTAATCACTCTCCACCTTGTTTTCCCAGACAAGGTCTCTCACTGAACCTGAGCTCACTGATTGGTGAGACTCGCTGGCCAGCAAGCCCCAGGTTCCTCCTCTCTCTACCTCCCGAGTGCTACACACACTTTCAAGCACACTCTTGTGTGCATGGCTTTTTACATGGGTGCTGGAGATCCGAACTCAGGTCCTCATGCCTTCACAGCAAGCGCTTTACCAACTGAGTAATTGCTCAAGTCCCAAGTTTTAAACTTTTCATTGTAATTTAAAAACATATTCTATATTTAAATTTTACAGCATTTATTCATTTACCAAGACCCAAATAAATCACTGTGGGTAGAGGGAGGCATGAGCAACAAAACACCAAGTTCCTACCTTCTAAGAAGCCCGAACTAAACATCAAAAGTCATAGGCGATGGCTAGTGGAGCTGGAGTTTCATTTGCAGTGGTAAATGCCATTCCCTCATTTACTTGGTCCATGGAGAGAATTTTGGGGTGTACTGCATACTTGGGTTGTCATGGGTGCTCTGGAGCCTGTGGAAGGACTCTAAGAAGTGTCTCTGCCTACCAGAGACACTGGGGAGAGAGTGGAGTTCAAAGTCAGGTAGAACATTAGGTTGCTGTGGATCCAGTCCCACAAGACTGTTCAAAGAATGTTCTGAGAGCAAGGAGGCCCTGTCCCAGCCTATTGGCTGCTTTGCAGAACCCCGGGTTCTGAGCTGCTTCCGTGGAACATGAAGCCCTCAGAGTGAGGTAGAAGACACTGCAGGGTGGGGTAGAAGAGCACACAGAAGTCACAGGCATTAGGGATTTTCTCACTGGACACTGAGAACTGATGGAGGCGGGGAGACTTATCCTCAAGAGTGCTTGGCCGTAGATAGTCCAGGACACAGCATCCAACACCAACTCTGCCTATCGGGAAACTGCCTCTAACCTCTTCCTCCATTATACAGGTTCCCTGCAGCCCATTGGGGATGGTATGGTGCCCTTCTCACTTCTTCTGAGGTCCCGTCTTCCCTCTGCCCTAAGGAGTCTGCCAACGGCAGCACACATCAGAAACACAGCCAGCATGACTGAAGGTAAGCGGGACTAGACAGTTGGGTGAGTGCTTGTTTGTTCGGTTGGTTTTCTTAAGACAGGGTTTCATGTAGCTCGCCCAGGATGAATTCAAACTCATTGTGTAGCTGAGGATGACCTTGAAATCATGATCCTTCTGACTCCACCTCCTGAGTGCTGAGATTACAGATAGTAACCATGCCTGGCTACTCTATGTGAGTGCGTGTGTGTGTGTATGTGTGTGTGTGTGTGTGTGTGTGTGTGTGTGTGTGTGTGTGTGTGTGTGCTCACTCATATGTATGAATATGTGTATATGCACACACACATTCTGTCAGTCAAAATAAAATGTTATTAGGTTATGTCTAATCACTATTTAACTTCCCAGAATAGCCTACCATTTTGGACTGCATTTGAGGTGTAGAAACCTCATGGAGGGGTCTAGGGCCATCCAGTTCTGCTTGCTTACCCAGCTCCATATCGAGAACTGCCCACAGACTCCAACCATAAAGTGATTTTTTTTATGCTAGGCGTGGTGGCTCATGCGTGTAATCCCAGCATCTTGGATACTGGGTGGGAAGATTGCTGAGCGTTTGAGGCCAGCCTTGGCTACATAGTGAGTTCCAGACCAGCCTGGACTGTTTAGTGAGACCCTATCTCAAAACACAAAGCAAAACAAAAGTTTATCCCGCCCCCTCCCAGGGAAAGTGCCACAGGCCACAGAGCCTTCTAAGTTGATCTTGATCGGGATCAAATTTCCCTACCCTTGGCTGGCCTTATTCTATGTGTAGTACCTATCTTTCCACTGTCCTATAGGCATGACACCCAGCACTCCCAAAGTCCTGAAACACACACACACACACACACACACACACACACACACACACACACACACACACACACAGGCATTTGATACATCGCTGACCTAAGGTCCCACCAATATTTCACAATACAAACAAACATTTAAGGGCTTAGGATATAGCTCAGTGTGGTAGAGAATTTGCCTACTGTGCTCAAGGCCCTGGGTTCTGTCCCTCACACCACAAAACAAAACCAAATAGTCCATAGACTTCTCTGGTTATGGTACAAACACCAAAGGAAAAACCTATGCATTATGCTTAGTGTACTTAAAACAAGAGTTCTTATTTAGCAGACTGCCATGCCAGGCCTCTATTGCTATTTGTGGGTGAATGGCTACCTATCATCACACAACAAAACACCCTAAAGAGTAATGGCATAGAGCCGTAATCTTCACAAGTCTGCAACTGAGGCTGGCCTTGGTGGAGTAGTTTCTCTGCCTGCACCGTCGGGCTGGACCATCCAAGACGCCTCCTCCCTCATATTCTGATGACCACTGGGGTGACTGGACCAGAAAGCCTGAAATTTCTTTTTGTGGAGCCTTTCTCTGCTGGTTAGTGTCCATTATCCACTTGACAAAGCTGAGAGTCACCTGGGGAGAGGGAACCTTTAGTGGAATAATTTTCCCTATCAGATTTGCCTATGGCCGCATCCGGGGAAGCATTTTCTTGATCGTTAATTGAGTTAAGAGACCCCAGCTCACTATGGGCAGCTCCATCCTTAGGTAGGTGGGTCTGGACTATATGAGAAAACTGGCATTCCTCCACAGTTCCTGCTTCAGTTCTTAACTTGGGTTCCCGCCCTGTCCTTCCCTAAATGATGAATTGTAACCTGGAAGTGTAAGCCAGATTAAACGCTTTCCTCCTAAGTTTCTTTTGGTCACAGTGTTCACCACAACAAGAGAAAGGTAAACCAGAATTCTCTCCAACATGGTGGCCAGGCTTCTTTCTTTGGTAGCTCAGGACTCCAAGAGAAAGCAGTCCACTAAGATAGATATGTAAGCCATGGTTCAAGACTGTTCACACCCCAGATGATGTCCTCTCAGCCAAAAAAAAAAAAAAAAAAGTCACATGGCTAAGGCCTGAGCCAATGAAGGTGGCCCATTAGTACACGAATGGCAGGAAGCAGAATTTATATAGAAGACTCCCAAGGTCTAGCAAAGCCATTGTGCATCTTCAGCAAATGTGAGTGTCACCCCAGACAGGGACTGCTTCCTGGGACCTCAAGGAGGCTGTGGGTCTGAACAGCTCAGGCCGTGGGCCCCCAGGGTGGACAGTGAGAGCGTGGATTTCCAGATTTGCTCCTCACTAGAGGTCCACTATGAGTCAACTATGTGACCTTACCAGGCTTGTTTCCAAATAAAAAATGGGACAGGCTCCTCCACAGGAGCCTTCTGGAGGACTATGTGGGCTGGTGAGTTTCTTCCAAGACAACTGCTGCTGTAGAATAATCCATCAGGAGAAGGCACATGTTCCAGCCTAGAGCCCAGTGTAAAAGGCTTTAAGTGTCATTAGGAGCACTAAAGGGGTCCCCCCTCTTTCTTCTTCTTGTTAAAAAATTGATTTTTGGTTAAAAGACTCCAAATAAATCACTCAGTTTCTCTTCACAAAGAGAAAGTGTCATGACCTTCAGTGGAACCTGAGAGCCCCAGGGATGCATGAATCAGCACCCTCACCTAGAAGTGCGGTCTGCCTGCACCCTCTAAAGAGGGACCTCAAGGCCTCTATTCATATTGTGTTGCTAATGGGGACAACCCAGGACTTTTCTATTCATCTCCCTCAGTGCAGATGAACAAAACCTAAACTCGGCTCCCGAAGTGCATTTAATTAAAAAGGAAACAAAGGAGCTTTATTCCCTGATTTATTGCATTAAAAATCCAATTTGTCCTCACAATAGGCTTTGGAGGGAAGAGGCAGTGGAGAGCCAGGGAGGCCTTTAAGCTGGCGTTCTTTCTGACACCTCACCACAGGTGCAGGTCACCATGCAGTCAAGCTAGGCCTGCTTGAAAAGTGCAAGCACACCCTCTTCTTCTGGGCTACTGCGGTGCCCGAGGCATCCTCCCTTGGAAAGCTTGTTGGCAACTTTGGCAGACACTGTGGGTTTTGAGGTGATGAGTGCCAACACCACCTCACCACTTGCTGGTCCTGGGCTTTTCCCAGAGAGATGGTCATGTCTACTCCACCCCTCTCCTCTGAGGAAGTCTTGGACCCATCATACAAATGTCCAGAGCTTGTGACCCAGTGGGTACAGTGCCATGATGAAGAGTTCACAAATCACTTAGCACAGAGCAACCTGGACCACCATAAGCACACAGTACATGCCTGCTGATCGTGTTCTTGTAGACCAGAAATGTCCATGGGTTCATGGAACACATCTGGCCATTAGGAAAATTGTTCCAAAGTTATTTCTCCAGTAGAACACAGCTCTGTCTGGAGTATGGTCTCTGTCTTCATTATTGTAGCAAAACAGCTGATATCTGGTGTGTTGGTTATCTGTCTCTGTGACAAAATACCTCACAGAAGCAACTTATGGAAGGAAGGGTTTGCTGTGGCTCACAGCTCCAGGTGACACAGGGGGAGCATGATCACATGGCATCGCCAGCCGGGAAGCCAAGACTGATCAATGCTGTTGCTCAGCCCACTTTTTATTTAGTCCAGAACCCTAGCCCATGGAATGGCACCACCCACATTTAGGGTGAGTCTTCCCACCTCAATGAACCTAGTTGACACAGGTCCAGATGTTTGTTTCCATAGTGATTCTAAATCCCATCAAGTTGATTCACCATAGTAGGTCATTTATTTAAAAAAGGTTTCTGGGGTTGGGGATTTAGCTCAGTGGTAGAGTGCTTGCCTAGCAAGTACAAGGCCCTGGGTTTGGTCCACAGCTTTGAAAAAAAAAAAGGTTTCTGTTAGCTCATGATTTGGGAAGCTGGAGAGTCCAAGAGCTTGGTGCCAGAATCAAGCAGGGGCAACATACAGCTTTAATTCATGGTGGGAAGCAGAAGGCCAGCCTCTATGTGCCGAAGGGCAAGCAGGAATGGTGGAATCACTTTCCAGCAACTGCTTTTGTTGTAACTAAGCCAAGTTCCATGAGAATGAAAAGCCAGTTCACACGAGAAGGCATTAACTTCAATGAGGGTTGCAGCCATGGCTCAAAAACATCCTAGTAGGCTCCACCTCCCACCACCACCACACAGAGCAGCTGTTCTCAATCTGTGGGTCACGACCCCTTTGTGCATATATTGGATATCATGCATATCAGATGTTTACGTTACAGTTCATAAGAGCTAGCAAAATTACAGTTGTGAAGTATCAATAGAATAATTGTATGTTGGGGGGGTCACCATAACATGAGGGACTGTATTAAGGGGTTGTAGCATTAGGAAGGTTGAGGGCCACTGAAGAGGAACCAAAGTTCCAATTCATGAACTTCTGGGGACCTGCCCAATCTTAGTTTTATAACACTGAGAAAAGCATCAAAGTCACCTGTAGTCTTGTCACCAGGAGACAGTCATGATTATTATGCAGATATATTCCCTTTGAGTTCTTTCATCAAAAATTTTATAGGAGACCACGTCGAACATACTGCTTTGTTATCTGCCATTGTCCCTTTAACAATGATGTGATGTTGACAGAGCGTAACTGACGGAGGTCTCTCTGAGGTATACATGATTAGTGCCAGCTTCCAGGTGGGAAAACTGAGGCCACTACACTGGGGTAACAGAGCTGGGGAGAACGTCAAGATTCAAGATCAGGGCTATCTGCATCCAAAACCAGAGAATTTTCTAATTCCCAGGATGGCCATTTGCCTTCAGAGGAGCTCACAGTATGCAAATGGATTTTTTTCCACCTCCTTGTTGAGACTATGTGCCCACTCCAGCAATCAATCTGCACAGACCAAAGACACCAGCGGTCAACATCTGTAAAAGATTAGCCAAAAGACAGAAACACAGATGAGAGGCACTGGGCCATGTCAATCACCGGGCAAGATGCATATGATGGTAAATCTTGGTTGTCAACTTGATGATATTTAGAATCACCATGGAAACTGAGCATGTTTATGAAGGGTTCTCTAGATTAAGAGGTAGGCAGATTTTAGGGTACTACATATATGTGATATCATTCCACGGACCCTGGACTGATTAAAAAGGGAAAACCTAGCTGAATACCAGCCTTCTTTACTCTCTGCCTCCTGAGTGTGGACACAGTGTGACCAGCCACCTCCTGCTGCCGTACCCTCTCCCGCCTCAGCCTCCTGAGTACTAAGGTTATATATAGGTGTGTTCCTCCATATACACAGCTACACTGCACCTATGAACCAGAACTATGTCCTTCTCTCCTCAAGTTTGTCGTGTGATGAGACAGGTGACCAGTAGGACACATCGCAGCCACAGTGTGACCCTCATGACATAATTGCCAAGACTGCCAAAATGAGAACGATGGGCAGCACCGAGTGTCAGAGATGCTCATCATGGGTGGCTGTGCCAGTCACAGAGCCACGATGGGAAGTTGCTGGGCAATGTCCAGTAAAGCTGACTGAGTTTTTCTACTGTAAGCCCTGGTGATTGTCAAATAGGAGAGCACTGTATACTCCCCAAATGCATGCTCTGTAACGCTCGTGGTGGTGCCATTTGCAATAACCCAAGTTAAAGTTCCCTCCCCAGTAGACAAGGGTCAATTCTCATTGTGTGAATTTTACCACACACCATAGCACGTGAACAGACTGTCACTAAATGCAATGATACTGGTCAATTCCTAGATATTAGTGAAAGAATTAGGACTTAAAATATATATGGTATATGGTTCCATTATACGAAGTCCAGTGATGGGTCATGTGTGGGTTAGAAGTTAGAATAATGGTACCATAGATGGAGCAGCCAGGGTGTTGACTCTGAGGAGCTAACTGTGCTGTCTCTCAATCTGGGTGCTTGCTAGGTGGATGTGTTGATTGTGTAAAAAGTCCTAAGCTGTATACTTTTTGTTTGTTGGTTGGTTGGTTGGTTGGTTGGTTGAGACAGGGTCTCACTATGTAGCCCAGGCTGACCTTAAACTTGTGATCTCCTGCCTCAGCCTCCTGAGTACTAAGGTTATAGGTGTGCTCCTCCATATACACAGCTACACTGCATACTTAAGTACACTTTTGTGTGCATCTCAAACAAGTCAATCAAAGGTGGAATTAACAAGGATCTGCAAGCATCAACCAAGTGTGCCTTTGTCCCATCTCCCACCCAACCCAGGACTCCAACCAGCTAGTGTGGTGGTCCTACCCAGATCCCTAGCACCAGCCTTTGAAAGCTTCTGCCAGGCCAATCATGGTCCTCTGCCCCTGCTGGGCCGAAGTGAGCCGGAGAAGATACTGCCGCGCCTTAGCACTGTTCCAGACGGAAGGTAAGGAGCCTATGCTATGGTAGACACAAGCGTGGCAAGATGCTGCAGCTTGGGCCCTTTGTTCCTAGATACATTGATCCAGCCTTAGGGACCACACAGGTCCCGACATGGAGCATCACATGGCCACTGCTCAGGAGCAAGCTGCCCTCTCTGTCTTTCCTACTCCATACTCTGTCCTCCAAGTCCACACCTGCCCCTGCCCCAAGCCTGGAGAAACCCTGTGGGCAATGTCTTGTTCCATTTCCTATCATTGTGATAAAATATGCTGACAAAAGCAACTGAGGGAAAGGGGGTTTATTTTGGGTCACAGTTTCCAGGGAAGCAGGGTGACAGGGATTTGAAGCAGTCAGTTACATTATATCCATACTCAAGAGAAGAGAGCAGTAATATGTGTGTGTGTGTGTGTGTGTGTGTGTGTGTGTGTGTGTGTGTGTGCGCGTGTGTGATAGGAAGACCCATCTCCTGTGGCTGGCTTGGAACTAGCTGTGTAGACCAAGTTGGCCTTGAACTCATAGAGCTCTGTCTGCTTCTGTCTCCTGCAATGCTGGGATTAAAGGTGTGTGCCACCATGCCTGGGCCAAGAGCAATAAGCTAATGCATGCATGCCTGTGCTCAGTTCTCTTGCTCTCTCCACTCTCATGCAGCTCAAGATCCCCTTGCGTAGGGAATGGTGCCACCCCCAGGGGATGGGTCTTCCCACTTCAATTAATCAGTATCCTCTCCCAAAGACACTCTTACAGGCCAACCTGAGACTCTCTTCCCACGTGATTTTAGATAGTGTCGAACTGACAATTAAAATTCACTGTGACAGGCGCTGCCACCTGTCACTTTTCCATTCCTACCAGAAAGCCCTTGCACAGGATTAAGAAGAAAAGAACAATGCTTGCATCACGAACCCCCGGAAGAAAATATCATTTATATTGTGCATGTTTGCCCATACTCTTAAACAGCAGATGTCCCTCTCAGCTCCTGCTCACCCTCCACAGTTTCAGTTACCCACGGGTGACCAGTGTCTAAAAATATTGCATGGAAAATTCCAGGAATAAATAACTCGATGTTTTAAATAACTTTTATGACAGTGTATCATTACAATTACTGCTAATCTGATTTATAAAGTAAACATCAGGTGTAGAGATACAGGGGAAAGAAGATACAGAGGATTTGAGCCTAGCTGGTGTCAGGCGTCCACTGGGGATACTAGATGTCACAATAAGGGCGTGGCACAGCAAGTCCCATAGGTGGCCCTGGAAACCCTGCCTCAGTGCCTCTCCACCATGCCCTAGCTTCCTTTTCGAGGCTAGCTAGGGCTTCACCTTCTCTGACCTTGACTGTTAGACACCGGAACTGCTCATCTTCCTCTCACTCTCTCCTCCCTCTGTGACCCCCTTCTGCTCACCCACAAAAGTGGCCTTTTCTAAGTCCACATCTGATCACGTGACTCTACTATTTAAAATTCTCCCTGGCCTGCCTGTGCCTTGTGCCTCAGCCCCATCTTAATACTAGTGGTGACCTGGCCCCAGCTCAGCTTCTGAGACTCAGGGCACCCCCAGCTCTCTCCTCAGACAGAAGGCTTCCCACTATCATTCTGTAGACCCAAGGATGAGAGGGCCACTCGAAAATGCTGCTAGGGCCTGAGCCAGTACTTCCTGTGTTGCCAGTCTCCCGGTGCAGACTGCCCATGGTTCCCACACTCAGTGCCTCCACACTTTGTACCCCCTCTGCCTAGGTGTGCTCTCCTCCTTATCCAATGAGTAAACTCCTATTTATGCCTCAAGACCCAACACCTCCTCCCACTTCGTGGGTTGTTAGATTTCCAACACTAGGAGAAAATACCCGAGACGAACATCATAAAGACAGAATGGCTTGTTTGGGTTGACTGCTTTGGAGCTTTGAGTCCATGGTCAACTGGCTATTGCTTGGGCCTGTGGGCAAGGCAGCACAGCATAGCGGGGAACATGGGATGGAGCAGAGCTGCTCACAAAGCAGAAAGACAATGGGAAAGCAGCATCCTCTTCTTCAAGGGGATGTCCCCAATGACCTAACTTCCTCTCACTAGTCCCCTCTTCTAAAGGTCCATACCTGCCACTACCACCACAGGCTGGGGTCTTGCATTCAGTCCGTGGACTTCTGGGGGACACTTGAGATCCAGACTAGCATAATAGAAGAGGAAGGCTTCTCATTGTCCTGTGTCTCTCCACTATCTTGACACTTGCTGCTCCGTGTAGCAGGTGTTGGAAGGTGGAGTCACAACATGGCCATCCTGCAACCCCTCCCCCTGGCATGTGTGTGGAAAGGAGGGAGGACTTGATAAATGATGTGGGGTGAGCAGAGGTGGGGCTTGTACCACGTGGGGCTTTCAACCTCACAGGAGAGTTCCCCTATGGAGGCCTTACCCTGTGAACTCTGACCTGTGAACTCTGAGAGGTTCCTTGAGGCCACCATCCTCTGTCTGGGTCGGCTAGCATTCCCTCCATGGCAGAAAGTCCAGCATTTTATTCTTATGGGTCTGACTGATCTCATGTTGAGGTTCAGGAAATTGAAGAAGGTGGGAGCCACAGCGTGTGTTATGTACATGCAGATTCAGTAGGTTTGATTCGGTCATGCTTTGGGGACACTAGCCAAGCCTGTAGGTGGAAACCAAGTTCTCTAGACATGCCAGCCTCAGATATCCCCTCCACTGCCCTTTTAAAAAAGTGCATCCTTGGGGCACCATGGTCAAGCCAGGGGCCTGTGAGCATTGCTTTCTGTCCCCAGGACCATCTGTCCACAGTTCCAGAAATATGAGTTTGGCACCTGCACAGGCATCCTGGCCTCACTGGAAGAGTACTCAGAGCAGCTGAAGGACATGGTGACCTTCATCATGGACTGTAGCTTCTCCATAGACAAGGCCTTGGAGCAGGCAGGGATCCCCAGAAGAGACCCAGCAGGTCCAAACCACGCAGGAGCATACAAGGTAAGGCCACACCCCTGGACAGAATGGTTTGAAAATGTGGATGGAGTTGTATTTTCCTGTGGTGGAGAGAGCATTGGTACAGGAAGCAGAAACACTAAGGTCAGCCCCAGCTCGGTCGCTCTCCCAGGTAAAGCCATTAGCCTCTGAGGCAGCCTCTCTCCTTCCCACCTCTGATACGGCTATAGCATTCCGTGTGGCCCTTTTGAGAAGTTTGTTACAGCTGAGTCAATCAAAGCCATTGGGAGTGTGTGTGTGTGTGTGTGTGTGTGTGTGTGTGTGTGTGTACGTGTACATATGCTTCATGCACACATGGGTGCACACGCGTGTATATGAATGTGTGTTCAGGCCAAAGGTCAACCTGTGTTCTTCAAGGTCAGTACACGGTGTTTTCTGTGAAATTACACTTGTTTGGAGAAGGGGTGATTCGGGTAGTGCAATTCACATGTGGAGGTTGGGGGACAACTTAAAGTAATCAGTTCTCTCCTTCCACCATGTGAGTCTTGGGAACCAAATTCAAATCATCAGGCATGGCGGCAGATGCCTTACCTGCTGAATCATTTCACTGGCCTGAACTTGGTTTTTGAGACAAGGTCTCTTACCGGGACCTGGGACTCACTGGTTAAGGCTGTGTGGCTGGCCAGAGAGTCCTGGAGATGCTCTTGTCTCCATCTCCCCGTGCTAGAACTACAAGTGCAGGGTGTCACCGTGCCCAGTTTTGATGTGGGCACTGAAGATTAACAGAGACGGAAGGGTGGCCTCTCCTGGGACAGCCGTGCTGTTAGGGACTGTCTGTGGCTCAGTTAATGATCTCTTCTTCCAGCTGAGACCAGTCAAGTGGGGGAAGACCAGTCCTTGCTCCACTGTTTCCCTCCCTGGTGCTGTTAGGACAAATCTGAGTGCCCACTCTCCATATCAGTAGCCTCCAGGCCTCCCTGTGTAAATGACCAGCCTCCAGGCCTCCCTGTGTAAATGACCAGCCTCCAGGCCTCCCTGTGCACAGGACCAGCCTCCAGGCCTCCCTGTGCACAGGACCAGCCTCCAGGCCTCCCTGTGCACAGGACCAGCCTCCAGGCCTCCCTCTGCACAGGACCAGCCTCCAGGCCTCCCTCTGCACAGGACCAGCCTCCAGGCCTCCCTCTGCACAGGACCAGCCTCCAGGCCTCCCTCTGCACAGGACCAGCCTCCAGGCCTCCCTCTGCACAGGACCAGCCTCCAGGCCTCCCTGTGCACAGGACCAGCCTCCAGGCCTCCCTGTGCACAGGACCAGCCTCCAGGCCTCCCTGTGCACAGGACCAGCCTCCAGGCCTCCCTGCTTTCAGTGACTGGACATTTCATCTTAGACACTGTTTATTACAGTGTCCACCTTTGGCTCCTGTCTGAGAGGCCTGGATTGCATCAGGTCAGAGACAAAAGTGTCCACATTCTGCACTGCCCTTCAAGGAGCAATAGCGAAGGGTGAGGGCAGAGCCCTTGGCACTGGCTGGGCCCCACTGTTATTTGTAGCAGGTTAGAACTGGGAGGCTACTCAGACTCATCAGCAAAGCCCCTCATTTGAAATGAAGGAAATAAAACCTAAAGGGTGCCGGGCGGTGGTGGCGCACGCCTTTAATCCCAGCACTCGGGAGGCAGAGCCAGGCGGATCTCTGTGAGTTCGAGGCCAGCCTGGGCTACCAAGTGAGTTCCAGGAAAAGGCGCAAAGCTACACAGAGAAACCCTGTCTCAAAAAACCAAAAAAAAAAAAAAAAAAAAAAAAAAAAAAAAACCTAAAGGGTGAGAGATACATGGACTTGCCCAAGTCCCAGAGCCAACTGGAACCACACTCTCGGCTGGTGTGGTGACTGAATAAAGCTTTGCACAGAGGCACAGGTGTCCACAGGAGACGTTTACAGCCTATCATTTATCTATGACACCCCACTGCCCCCCTCCCCATGGTTACCATACAGTTCTCAGTCTACAGCAACCCCACCCGACCCCACCGCCCTTAGATCCCGAGAGAGGTGGGTATAGCCAACTTGAATTCCACTGACGACCTGTACAGACCTAGACAGAGGTATCTCGGTCCCCAGGAGCACCGCCTGGCTTTGCGAGTGGCCTACATGCGGCCCCTCTCTGTCCTAGGTGCTGACATACAGACACCAGGTTGGCAGCACACCAGAATTTCACCCTACTATGGCCAGGGTGGCGATGGCAAGCCAGTTAAGTGGCAGCCGAGGCTGTCCCAGTGGATCATGATCCCGGCTGTGTCCTACACCTGCCATCCGCCCACTGCAGGGGGAGAAGAAATGTGCCACAAGCCAAAGTCACGCAGGTCACCCTGTGCAGACTCTGCCAAGGGAGGGCTGGGGCATCCGGGGACAGGCGCCTCCCCTGTGGAGTCCAGAAGTGGAGCCCACAGCGGCTCCTCCTGGGGTGATCTGCTCCCTTTCGCCTCTGATTCTGTCAGAACTTCACAGACTTACTGAGGTCCAAAACAAACAAACAAACACACACACACACACACAAAAAAAAAATAACAAAAAACAAAAAAAAAACCAGAGGCCTGTGAGACTGGATGGGGAAGAGTGTGTGTGTGTGTGTGTGTGTGTGTGTGTGTGTGTGTGTGTGTGTGTGTGTGTGTGTGTGTGTGTTTTTATAAACCTCTGCAGAAATTTAGTATTTCCTTCAGTTCTGAATGTTGGCGACAGATCCTGTAGCATTGTGGCTGACAGAGTATTTCACAGACAGATTCGTATCACAGTACAGTTGTCAGACTCTCAAAGACATCCTATACACTGATACTCCAAAACGACAAAGATCTGCCACTCTGTCCTCTTCGCTGTCCCTGGGAAAGCAGACTGTTTTCCCCGTGGAACGCTCTGGGAACTACATGTGAACATCTGGAATAGTATTGATTTCCTTTGGCACATTTACTTTTCTTCTCTTCCCCTCACCTCTTTGCCCCCCTCCGTGTGTTTATGTTTTAAGGCAGGCTCTCACTGTGTAACCTAGGCTAACCTTAAAACTCCCCATGTAGTCAAGGCTGAAACTCTCCATTCTCCTGCCTTAGCGCCCCCTCCCCCCATGCTGGGACTACACACACATGCCATCCATAAATTTTCTTTTATGTGGTTAAAATACTACTCTGTCCAGCTTAGAAGATGTGTCAAATGTTGACAGATAAAAAAATCAGGATCCCCCCCCTCCCAGTTTTGAGTTACTCATTATCAACCAAGCACCCCATCAGTGTGGCTCCTACAGCAGCTGCTGGAACCTCTTGCTTCATGCAGCTTGAACGGTGAGGCCTGGGGCTTGAATCTGGGTTAATTCCTGTTTTTTCTTCCCCTTACATGTTCGCTTGATTTCTCAGACGACAGTGCCATGTGCCACCATTGCTGGCTTCTGCTGCCCTCTGGTGGTCACAATGAGACCCATTCCCAAGGACAAGCTGGAAACGCTGTTCCAGGCCACACACTCCTTGGGAGGACAGCAAGGACAACCCATCCACATTGGTGACCCAGGTCAGTGTCCACCCAGGTTGTGATTCCCACATGGGCCTGAGAAGCACCTAGGAGCTTATGCTGTTATTAGGGAAGTCTCAGGGGCGAGGGCCTGGGGCGAGGACAAGAGGGCCGTACCAGGTGACCTCTAGTCTAAGACACTGCCACCTTGCCCGACCTTGAGGATCTGTGATGCACACAACACTCCTGTGAGCTTCACATGACCCCTGGATCATGTTGCATGGGACTCTTTGTTTCAAGTTGTCCTCTGACCTCTGCATGCGTGTTATGGCACATAACCCCTGTCTGTCTGTCTGTCTGTCTGTCTGTCTGTCTGTCTCTCTCTCTCTCTCTCTCTCTCTCTCTCTCTCTCTCTCACACACATACACACACACACACACACACACACACACACACACACACACACAGGATAATATTAATAAAACTCAAACTTACATTTGGACTGAAAGCCATGAGTATTAACTTAGCCTGAGAGTGAATGAACAGATCCAAGGGTGAAGGTCAAAAGTCTGGATGCTGCCCAGGCCTCTTGGAGCTCCCAGAGGGCCTGAGGAGAGCTTGGGGTTGGCCTGGGTGAGAGCCAGGATCTGTGTACTTGAACTTGCACAGCTTTGTAGTCAACAGAATCATCAAAGACCTGACATTCTATGAAAATACTATCAGCACTACTGACCTTCCTCACCTAAAACTGTCTCAGGACCACCCAGAGGATGTCTACTGACTTGTCTTATTAATGTGGGTGAACTGGTCCCGACACATCCATCTCTGCTGTCTTCGTTACCACCGTCGGCAGCATGCTGATGACTGCTAGCCCGGCCAGGACTGCTGATAGCAATAACAGAGGTTACAGCTGTGTAACTTAACCAGTCTGTATCAAGATGACACACAATGCTGGCTTTGTTAGGAATCTGTGCTACAAGGCCAGTACTGAGCTAGACGCACTATAGACTCCCTCCAGAAACCACATCGTGCAGTTTGAGATGTCAGGTCGGATTATACCAGCCAACATGAGCCCTAAGTTACAGAACATCCTTATCTGTTAAAACTTCAGCTCCGAGCCATCATTATCTCTTCCTCCTCTTCCTCCTGTCCCTCCTCTTCTTTCTCCTTTTCCATCTAAGATAATGCTACAACCAACTCTCTTTAGGAGAAAGATCCATAAAGTACTTAGTGCATCCATGTGGATAGTACCAACCAGAGGAATCCTGTTTTCTTTTTCCATCTGCAGAGCTCTTGGGAATCAAGGCACTGTCCAAACCTGACTATGGGAATTATGTGGAGTGTCGGCCTGAGGATGTCCCAGTGTTCTGGCCTTCACAGCTGACCGGTCTGGAAGCAGTCATCAGTTGCAGTATGTTGGGGCACAAGGGTACAACTGCCTTGATCTCAGAAGCAACCCAGTGGGTCTGGAGTTCTTGAAAGCACAGGTTTACAGATTAATGACTTAAAAATAAACTCAGAAAACACAGGCCTTGAGTTGGGGATGTAGCCCAGTGGTAGAGCACTTCCCCAGCATGCCCAAAGCCCTGTGTTTGCCCCCAGCATTGGAAGACAAACACAAACATAGGCTGAGCGTCTACAGTGTCTCTCCACTTTCTCATTTAATCCCAGGACTGTCTGTCGCCTCTCCATAGGAGCTGGCCTTTAGCACAAGAACCTTTTGATGAAATACTTTTCCATCTGCTGAAGCTTCCCAGCTTGAGCTGATGGAAGAACCAATCTTCAGCTTGACCTTTTGAGATTGGTAAAGCCTTGGAAGCAAAAGGATGAAGTCAAGAAACACAGTTGAATTTTACAATGAAGTCGTTTCTCAGTATCCACTAGGGACCAGTCCCAGCACCCCTCAATCCCAAAGTCTAGCTTCTCCCAGAAGAGGGCAGTGTTGACACATTGCCCGCCCTCCTGTACACTTCAACTCATTGCTAGAATGTATGTGATTCTTAATGTGATTAAGTGATTTGCGAATAGACGTTCTGTTATATTTTGAAAGATTTACTTATTTTATGTGTATGAATGTTTTGCCTGCATGTGCGTATGTGCAGCATGTGTGTGCCTGATGCCAACAGTGGCTAGAAGAGGGTATCAGATCCCCTGGAACTGAAGTTACAAGCAGCTGTGAGCTGCCATGTGGTGCTGGGAACCAAACCCAAGTCCTCTGCAGGAGCAGCAAATATTTTTAACTGCTGAGCCATCTCTCTGTGCCCATTATATTGTGTTCTTAAGGGTGAATGACAAGAAGAAAAAAAAAACTATTTGTGTTCACCACAGGCACAAATATGCTTCTTTTTTAATATTTTCAACCAGTAGTTGAATGGGTACTAAGAATTAAAAGCAGTATCATCAGCACTTCCCCACACCACACAAAAGGACTAGACTAATGTTACAATGAACAGACGTAAGAGAGCAGCCCTTGGTCCCCAGTAACAGGAATGTTATGGAAGTACTGATAGTAGTAACCATTGCAGACCATTGTCATAGACACTGGAAAATTCTGGTCAGGTCAGCCATTCCACTATAAAGAGTCCAGTTTAGTGCTATTTTACTTTAACAGCATTCATGAGAGCTCAGCTATCAGAATATCTTCCTGATATGGGGACAAGACGTAGATGGCACAATCCATGGGATTCTGCTTTTTAATTAAAAGTCTATGCACTGAGTACCTACTGTATGCCAGGTATGAGCTCAGATCTTAAGAATGCAATGTCCTCGGGGAGCTTGTAGTCATTTCTAGGTATGGAATAGGGAAAGGGGGCAGGTATGCATACTCCATACACAGACAGTGTCTAAGTTAGGGTTTTTATTGCTGTGAAGAGACACCAGGACCACGGCAACTCTTACAAAGGAAAACATTTAACTGAGGTGGTGGCTTACAGTTTCAGAGGTTCAGTCCATTATCATCCTGGTGGGGAGCATGGTGGTGTACAGGAAGACATAGTCCTGGCTACATCTTGATCCAAAAGCAATAGGAAGTGAACTATCTCACTGGGCATGGCTTGAGCATATATGAAGCCTCAAAGCTCACCTCCACAGTGACACACTTCCTCCAACACCTACTCCAACAAGGCCACCCCTCCCATTAGTACCACTCCCTTTAGGGGTCATTTTCTTTCAAGCCACCACAGGTAGTAAATATACCCCAGCACGGCAGGCTGGCTGCTCTCCTGCCTTCCACCAGGGGATGTGCCTGTAATGTAGATCTCACAGCTGGGAGCATCCCAACACACCCTAGCCCTCTTAAATCTGACGGTGTATGGCTTGTGGATGAGAAGACGCGTCACCACCGGTCAGAGACAACAGGGAATCATTCTCACACCTCAGCATATACATTTTATTAGCAATGGAGTCACTGCTGCACACCCCATACAACTGATGAGGGCAAAGCCTTGCACCACATTCTGAGCCCGCTGCTCTTGGGTGTACCTGGCTGCCAAGTGATCACTTTTAGGTGCTAAGACACACACACACACACACACACACACACACACACACACACACACACACACGTAACCATTTCTCAGAGTCAATAGTTGTACCCTTTAGAGGTCACAAGCAAAGCTTATGTATCTATCAGTAGATGCTCCTGTTGAATGTTAGCCGACTCTGGCTTTCTATTAAGTCCAAGAAATGTTACAGTTTCTGTGAAATCTAATTTATCATTTATTCATCTCACACGGACATTTATTTAACACCTACTATGTGCAAGGCATTATGTGGGAATCCGCAGTCGAGAACAATGGTGCCTCATCTTGAGGAGCACACAGCTGGGTGGAGGTTAAGTACTCCAATACAACAGTGATACCAAGGAAGGCAGATGGAAGAAAGTCAATGTACTAAGTAGTGAGCACCCAGAAGCCAGGCACAAGGACCAAGAGATGATTCAGTGCCTGTCTCACTAATGCAAACCATTACTGGGTGCTTACTCAGTACCCAGCACTTTGCTAAGAACTTGTACCTGTACTTCCCAGCTCAGTACTGACCAACAGACAAGGCACAGCCATTATTTGATAACGTAACAGATATGCGTAGTGAGGGTAGAGTCCCACCTGAAACTTGAATGCATCGTCCATGCCGCAGCCACTTCTGAGGAGGATGCTAGTGTCTGTTTAGGGCTGTAATCCTCGGGAGCGGGTTTTGTTGTTGTGAGAAAATGGAAACTCCATACATTACCATCTGCTACAAGGGACAGTGAGTGGCTTCACACTGAAGGGTTCAGTCAGTGCTTTCTGATATCTGTAACCGTGACGGACAGGACCTCTGAGCGCTGCTGCTCCAGCTGTGGCTGCACCTCGCTTTTTTTCCATACTCACCTCCACTTTCCTAAAAAGTGGAGGCAATTGTTTAACTAGAACTCGGTCTAGCCATGAGCCAGCTCCTTCTGACTGGTGCCAGCATACAGCATAGCGAATTCTGTGGAGAGGGTTGGTGCCAGGGCCGTCTTCCCTGTCCACTGTGGACTGGGCTTGGTGGGGTGACGTCACAGCCCCACCTGTTGTGTTCCAGAGGCTCCACTGGCTTTCACCAGCACTCCAGGCTGCACGGTGATGATCCTGAAGGACCCTGTGTCTCCAGCCAGTTGCCAGACCCCTGAGATGGTTCTGGAAGTCCACGCCATTTCCAAAGACCCTTTGCATTACAGTATAGTGTCAGCCGCTGCTGCTCAAAAGATCAGAGAGCTGGAGTCCACAATCGCCATAGACCCAGGTAAGAACAAAGTGTTCAAGGCTGGGGGACGGGTCAGTGGGAAAGTGCCTGCTGCTCAAGCATGAGGATCTGAGTTCAGATCCCGAGAACCCATGCAAAGGTTCGGGCAAGGTAGTACACATCTGTAATCCCAGTACAGGGTGTGTGTGTGTGTGTGTGTGTGTGTGTGTGTGTGTGTGTGTGTGTGTGTGCCTGTGTGTGTGTGTGTGTGCCTGTGTGTGTGCGTATGTGAGTGTATGTATGATTTTATGTGTGTGTGTCTGTGAGTATGTGTGTATATGAGTATGCATGTGCGTATGTGTGAGTGTGTATGTATGTCAGTGTGCATGCAAGTGTGTGTCTGTATGTGTGTATGTGAGTGTGCATGTGAGTATGTGTGTGTATGTGAGTGTGTGTATGATTTTGTATGTATGTGTGACTGTGTGTGTGAGTATGTGAGTGTGTGTGTGTGTGTGTGTGTGTGTGTGTGTGTGTGTGTGCTGGGGCTTATAGGGATAGGTAGATTCCTGAGCTTCTTGCCACCCAGCCTAGCCAAATCAAGGAGCTCAAGGTTCAGTGAAAGACTCATCTCAAAAAATAAGGAGTTGAGTGATTGAGGAGACATCCAACATTGACCTCTGGCCTCCATACATACATTGCACACACATCCATATGTACACCTACATATACCACACACAGAATAAATATATAATGAATAAGTAATAAGTAATTAAAACATTTATACCTACTGACTGAAGGCTTCCATGAAAAAGACAAGATATAAACTGTCTAAACTATCCACAGCATAGTGTGCTTACACTGGCCTACAAGGTGTCTCAGATGATTAAGGTCCTTGTAGCCAAGACTGACAGACAACCTGAGTCCCATCCCCAGGACCCACATACTGGAAGGAAAGAACACTTCTATAGGATGCCCTCTGACCTCCATATGCATAGCATGGCATGTGTGAGTACACATTCATGCACACATACAAACACACATATAAGTTTTTAAACTTAGAAGAGTTTTTTTTTTAAAGCTTGCACCATTCCCAAATAGACCAGAAGCAAATTCACCAAAATACTGGTTTTGAGGGCCTATCTTAGTCACAGTTCTATTGATATGAAGAGACACCACAACCGAGACAATCCTTATGAAAGAAAGCATTTAATTGGGAGCTTGTGTGGTGATGTATTGTGTACCCTAATAAAATTTGCCTGAAGATCAGAGAACAGAACAAGCCACTAGATTAAACATAGATGCCAGGCAGTGGTGGCACACACCTTTAATCCTAGCACTTGGGGGATAGAGATCTGTCTGGATCTCTGTGAGTTCAAAGCCACCCTGGACTACATGAGATTGATTCAGTCTAGGAGAAAAACTAGGCAGTGGTGGCACACACCTTTAATCCCAGTACTTGGGAGTCACAAGCCTTTAATCCCAGCACTAAGAAGGAAGCAATATGGCTGGGTGGAGAAAGGTATATAAGATGTGAGGAGACAGGAACTAAAGCTTTTTCCGCTGAAGGCTTTGCAGGCTGAGGAGTCCTAGAGGTGAGATGTGGCAGTGGCTTGTTCCTTTGTCTCTCTGATCTTTCAGCATTTACCCACTATCCGGCCCTGGGTTGTTTTTTTTTTTTTATATATGTATATATATAAAGACCAATTAGATTTCAAGTTACAAGCTTGCTTACAGTTTCAGAGGCTTACTCCATTGTCATCATGGTGGGGAGCATGGCATCAGGCATGGCAGGCATGGTACTAGAGAAGTAGTTTTGAGGAGGAGGGCTAGCATGGGCTATTGAGACCTCAAAGCCCACCCCTAGGGACACACTTCTTCTATCAAGGCCACACCTCCTAATCCTTCTAACAGTTCCACTCCCTGGTGACTAAGCATTCAAACACATGAGCCTATGGGGGCCACTCTTAGCACACCATCACAGAGTCTGTAGGTAGGGGGGACATTATGGGTGATTTTGGTTTTCTTCATGGCCGCCATTTTTCTAAATTCCAATACTAAGCGTGTGAACGTTATTAGCTCGGTGAATTGCCACCCAGAATCAAATGGCCACATGAGTAGGAAGTAACAAGGGCCTGGGGTATAGTTCAGTGAGGGAGTGCTAGCCCGGAGCACACAAAGCCTGACTTCAGTCTCCAGCACCAGAAAAAAAAAAAAAAAAAAAGATTGTTAAAGGCAGAGAGATAACTGATAACTCAGCAATTAAGCATATTTGCTGCTTATGCAAGGGACCAGGGTTCAATTCCCAGCACTCACATTGTGGCTAATGACCATCTGTAACTCCAGTTCCAGGGGATCCAGCACTCCATGGGCACAGCATGCACATGGTACACTTACACACACTGCAGGTAAATATATCTTTGAGGGGAAACAGACAGGAAGGTGGGTGTTTCTAAACAAGCAACTACCACTGTTTTCCAGAAGTTGTCAATAAAACTGATGCATGTCTGGAATCCCAGTGCTTCGGAGATGGACACGGGGGGATTGGGAGTTTAAGGTCATCCTCAGCTACATAGCGAGTTTGAGGCCAGCCTGGGCTACAGGAGACTCTGTCTCAATAAAACAAACAACAGCAACAAAGTTACAAGTGTATTTATTAATATCCCCAATTCTCTCCTTCAGTGCCAATGCCCTGGGGATATGGATGTGTGTGTATGTATATATATATATATATATATATATATATATATATATATATATATGCATGTTTTAAACACTGAGTGTCAGGATTGGAGGCGTAAGATTGCTTTTCCTTTGGGGAGCCCAGTGGTGGGACCAGACAGCTATAGCCTCACAGCATGTGCGGCCTGACAGTATACTGTATTTGTATCTCAGGGAAATAACTGCCCTTGCTCTTCTTCAGTTTATAAGCCACCAGTTTCCTTCCTTCCTTCCTTCCTTCCTTCCTTCCTTCCTTTCGTTCTCTTCTCCTCCTTCTTCTTCTTCTCCTTCATTTTGTTTTTTGTTTTTTGTTTTTCAAGACAGAGCTTCTCCGTGTAACAGCCCTGGCTGTCCTGGAACTCGCTTAGTAGACCAGGCAGGTTGTCCTTGAACTTACAGAGAACCATCTGCCTCTGCCTCCTGAGAGCTGGGATTACAGGCATGTGCCGCCACCACCACCACCCACTTTAGCCACCAGCTTTCTAAGCATGGGACAAGGCTGGTGGGACATCCTGGAAGCCTATTGATTCCAGTTAGGAGGTCTATTTCCGGTGGGTCTGCATCTGGGAAATGCAGTTCTAATCCCAGGTGGCCAGCAGAGGGCGCTGTGTCCCCCACTGTGATGCATGGTACAGATAGTTCAGCGGCCCACCCTCATGCGACAATTGCTGTATAGTTCTGCCTCATTTTCCTCATCAGTGCAACAAGACTACCGACAATCACACCACCCTGCCAGGGTTGTGCTGAAAAGCAAGAACATTGGTTGTGCCGCAGTTTCTCCCTGCTGGGTGGGCATCAGTAAATGCATGTTCCATCTTAGTAAGTGCTCTAGTGTCTCTATGAGACAGTTTTTAGTAACTTCAGTTAATAAAAGAAACCAAAGCATATAAGGTTAAGAAATGCTCAGTCCACATTGCCAGTAGATGGTTGGAGTAGATATTGAACCCTTGTCCACTGACTGTGTTGGCCATGGTTTATACATGCTGTATAAATTAGAATCTTTATACAAATGGTGTGTCATTTCTCACCCACGCAGTTAAAAAGTTCTCTAGTGTTCCTTAGAATATTCCATTCCTCCTGTATCTTCTCATGAATGGTGTTCTTAGAACTGGAGGGTAGCCACACCTCCAATATCTGGCGATGTCTGGGACTTACGTGGTCTTTCCCAAAGTCCTACTCATTCCCATTTTCCAACACATGTGAGGATCAGTAAGAGTGGACCCAGGGAGCACAGAGGGGTTAGGCTAGCCTTCGGAGGAGACTCCCTGGGTCAGACTCTCAGGAACCACAGAGCTCTACCTCTGAAGAGTGTCTAAAGAGAGCAATGACCCTCCCCACGGTGCTGTGAAACAAACCCCTGGGAGTCTGACGACCCCTGCTGGCCAGCCTGAGGACTCAAAGTAGCACACCTTAGAGATGACTGCTTCTGTCCCCTAGGGCTGGAATAATGATAATTGTCAAGTTTCCAATAAACTATCCAGCATGGGTTTTTTGGTTGTTTTTGTTTGTTTGTTTGTTTTTGCTTCATTTTTAATTTGGAGAGACTGATATTTACATATAAATACATAGTAAATTCATCACATATGCCTACCACAGAAACACCTCTAAGGACATGCTCATGGCAGGTGCATATAGAGTCCTATGTATTCTTGCCTGGGCAATTAAAAAGAGTATGTCCAGGGCTAGTGAAATGGCTCAGTGGCTAAAGACATTTGCTAGCAAGCTAATGACTCGAATTTGACCCCCAGGCCCCATGTAGTAGGAAAGAATCAGCTCCCAAAAGTTGTCCTCTGACCTCCACATGCATGCTACAGCACACACATAGGCACATGCATGTGTGTGCACACACAGACACACACACACACACACACACACACACACACACACACACACACACAGAGTCACAAGTAAATACATGAGTTTTTTTTTTAAAAGAATACTCCCACACTGTCCTGGGTAGGTATTTTAATTTTTTTTCCATAATAATTTCTCCCTCCCAGACAGTCTTACCCAAGCTGATGGCGTCCCTACTTAACATGGCGTCATGAGGAAAGATGAATTATTAACTCTGAGATTAGCTCTGAGTTTAAATGAAGGAGTTGACAGTAGATTTACTGCCCCCTCGGTTCACCCATTGCCTAGTATGGGTGAGCAGAAAGGTCAGATGCAGCGCCTCCCATAGGCCCTCCTGCAGACTGGGGTTTGAGGCTTGAAGCATGAGTCCCAGTGGAGGCAGATTTATGACTGTCTGATGTGCTGATTTCATCTGTGAAAAACCATCTTTAATCTGCACGAACAATAGACGATTTTGATTCCCACTCAAATAAGCAGATGTAAGATTAATGACGGTGTACTTTGTGCTGGGCATTACTCACTGAGCTTATTAATAGAGCCACTCAGTCATTTTAAAGAGGATATTGACTTGCATTTGAGGTGTCTGGAGGATATGGAGGGTGCAAGATTTATAGTAATGGTTTTTGCACGGGTAGTAAAATCATCATACACACACAGCTTTCAGTTGCCCAAACTCTCTCCTCTTTCTCTTTAGTACTCCTCACACTCCAATAAACATGTTATGCCCAATTTTATTTTATAAAATGCTGTTATTCTTCTCTATCTTGTCAACAATGTTATTGTAGGAACATCAGAAGACACTTGAAAATAGCCATGATGGTGGTGCATGCCTCTCACCCCTGTATTTAGGAGGCTGAGGCAGGAGGACCATTAATCCAAGACCGGGGTTTGACCCAGTCTCAAAAGTGAATCTAATTAATTAATAAAATTATGTTATAGAAGGAAAGTGTATGAACGTGAAGAATCAATAAAAATGACCAGAGTCCTGGAGCCCGAGGAGATGGCTCAGTTAGTTAAGGCATGCCGTGTCAGCAGAGGGAGGAGCTGGCTTCAGTACCAAGCATACATGTAGGAAGCAGGGACATCAGTGTGGGCTTGGAATCCCAAAAGTAAGGAGGCAGACAGGTAGATCCTTGAGGCTCACTGGCTAATCAGCCTAGCCAAATCAGTGAGAGACCCTGCCTCAAGAAAGAAAGAAAGAAAGAGAGAGAGAGAGAGAGAGAGAGAGAGAGAGAGAGAGAGAGAGAGAAAGAAAGAAAGAAAAGAAAAGAAAGGAAATGGAGTAAGCAATCAAAGAAGACACATGGCATCAATCTCAGGCCTCCATATGCACATGTACACAAGCACACATGCACAAGAACACATACAAACACACACACACCTACCCACACGCTTTTTTAAATACCAGAATCCATCACAATCAATAAATTATTAATAGGCTTGTATTTGCCATTAAAGTCCTTTTCTTTGGTCTCAAATCTTTGCATACAGGAATATATGTAATGGAACCCCACCATGATACTATTTTAGGACTTTTTAATAAACTTTCCATATCATGAAATGATCTCTACAACATCTACATACTGGCTGTCTGTCTGTCTGTTTGAGACAGAGTCTCACTTTGTAGCCCAGGCTAGCTTTGAACTCTCTGCAATCCACCTGCCTCAGTCTCCCAGGAGGAGAGCTGGGATCACAGGAAAGAGCCACCACATCCAGTTCACGACATTCCTTTGATTGGCTAAAATTTCATTGTGTGAGTATGCCACCATTTGACTAATAATCCATTATTGGATACCATAAACAATACCACAATTTAATTTTACACATACCTGTGACTACTTTATTAGGGATGCCAGAGGCCAGATGAGAGAATTGTAAAAAGTCTAAGAAAAAAAATCATCTCCCAGGCCCCAACTTCCAGTCCCCACTCCAACAACCAGTGGTTGAGAGTCTCTTTCCCCAGAGTTCCCCCATCTCGCTACCCGCCTCGTTTTTCATGTAGGAAAACCCAGATAGAGAACGAAGGACACACAGCTATCATGTGCCAGGTCCTGCACTGGAACTGTTCCTGACTCGGTCTGGAGTGGTGCCTCCATAGTGGGGATGCAAACCCAGCATCCTTAATTCTCTCTGTGAACCTCAACTGCAAGCCGACGCCCCTTCCCATCCCTTTGGCCTGCTCTGAGGCAGCTCAGCTCGGTGGACATGCTGAGTCACACTCTGCCTCCGTATGGCACTCGTCGGGAGAGACATGACGGTGGACAGAGGCATGCCAGTAGGGACAAGAGTCAGGAAGTGGTGTGGCTCAGCTGGGCCTGGCTGACCAACCTTAGCACTAGCTGCTGCCCTCATCTGTGTTGCCTGAGACTGAGCTCCTCTACAGAGGTGATGGATGGCTCCCCATTTGCTCGACTCCTCCACTAGAGGACAGTCTACCTCTCTCTCTATTATAGGAGGCACAGTCCAATGAGTGCAATGAAGTTCCCCCCAACAGGGGACAGAAGCCTGTGAACAAGTGGGTAGCCTCTGGTCCTCTGATAGGGCAGGTCTAGGGTGCATCTTCCAAGGCTTCTTAGTGGCTCTCAAGCAACACAGAGTTCCAGTTGCCTTAGGGTTAACTGGCTCACTCTCAATCCTTTCATGTTTTTCTGGGTCTCATCTTCTGCTGTGTTTTCTGGAATTATGGTCTCCTGGAATAATTGTACCGCAGACCTTGTCTTGGGCTCGTGGGGAAACGTCCCAATGAATGCATACCATTTCCTTTCCTCTTTATACATTCTTCTGTTTGTTAGGTTTTGCTAAACCAGTCTAACAAATGAGCCTCAACAGGCTACGTTCAAATGCTGTAGAAGGTTGTGCTGCCTCCATGTAACAGCACAGGGCAGGTCTTCAGAGAGTTCTGGATTAGTAGAGAGGGGCACTGCTCTACTCAGCCTCTCGGGGGCCCAGAAACTCTGCCATCATATCATGCTGTAGCGATCAACATTTCAGACAAGAAGAGGGCAGGTGTGCTTGGAGAAACACGTGGGAAGTACAGGGCCAGGCTCAGCAGGGCACCACTGTCTCCTTGAGCTCCGTGAGACTGAGCAAGTCTTCTGACCACCCTAGCTAAGAGAGAGGTGGGAGGCAGGAAGACCAGAGATGGGAATGCATCCCTATAAACAGTTCAGTCTGCCACAACCCTCCATATGACTACTTCTGAACCAAAACCAGCTCAAACTATCAGTGTTTCTACCTTAAACACAATCATCTAGCTATTTTGCTTTATTTTTTGATTTCAGGTAACCGAGGGATCAGGCACCTGCTACGTAAGGATGAGCTGCTGCAGGCTGCTCTGTCACTGTCCCATGCCCGCTCAGTACTAGTCACCACTGGATTCCCCACGCATTTCAATCACGAGCCCCCAGAGGAGACAGATGGCCCACCAGGAGCCATTGCTTTAGCTGCCTTCCTGCAGGCTCTGGGGAAGGAGACCTCCCTGGTGGTAGACCAGAGAGCCTTGAACTTGCACACAAGGCTTGTTGAAGATGCCGTTAAGGAAGGTGAGTAGGACGTGGGCTCAAGCCATTTCCGTGAGCAGGTCTTTATCGGCAGAGACCTGAGAAAATCAATGTTTGGACCTTCAGCCATGTACCCAACCGCAGAATGTGTCCTTGTGACAGGCCATTTTATCTTGAAGCTCAGAACAGCTTTGTTCTAAGCAACAGGGGTCTCATTTTATAGAGAGAGACACTGAGGTTCCTGGAAGTCCTGGATCAAACCAATTACTATTGTCCACACAGTGACCGGTTCCCACCACCCGTCAGTGCCCTGAAGGATCAAAGCTATGTGAACCCATGCCACCTAGGACAGTGGGGGTAATTGCCCCATGACACCCTCAGCCTATTAGGGACAGGATCTAGAGGCTAAGTCCCCTGCCTCCTTGGAGATACACATATCTTAGTGAACAGGAGATGCCAATTTTAAGAACAGTGATCCTGAAAACTCACACCCCCCTCCTCGCACCCCCTGTGCCTTCCCTCAGCTTCTTGGCACCGTCTTCCAAGCAACCACCTGCACCCATCTCAGGTCTTGGCTGCAGGGCAACCGGACTGTTATGAGTGGAGGCAGGTGTGTGGTCTGTGAAGAAGGAAGCGGAGCCTAGTTACACACGGTGAATTCTACAGTGGAAGCTCTCAGGGAGACCACTGGGGGGATAAGCAGGGACAAAGAAGCCAGGGTTGCACCCTGTGGCCTCTCATCCAGAGGACAAGAGGAAAGGAGACATTAAGGAATCCTAGAGGGACCAGAACAGGAAACTGAGGGACAGGCGACCATGTCAACTCTGCTCCAGGGCCAACAGCAGGTGCCATGTGACACTCACCAGGGCTATGCTTAGCATTTATTCTCCAGAGAGAGAGAGAGACAGAGACAGAGACAGAGACAGAGAGAGACAGAGAGCGCTGTGTCTTGTTCCTCTCCCGAGAGCTCAGCTGGGTGTTCTCAGGGACTCAGAACTGTCTGGCCTGCACCATGCCATGGAGGGCATCATTGTGTCACTGCTTTATTGGATTCTGCAGAACTTTTGTTACATTTGGATGAAGCAACTGGACCTGTTTGTGAAACTACTTTAGTCTTTTTGCTGAGGCCTAGGAAATGACGTAGAGGGGGGGAAAAAAAGGCATAGTCCTTTCTCCGCTCTCGTGGGCGCAAACCCAGCAAGGATTGTGCTCGGAAGCTCACAGGAGGGAGCAGTGTCTCCCGATCCACCTCGACAAAGGTCTTGTGTGTTCTTTCTCAGACATGTGGCTCAGGTGCCTGCCCGGGCTCCCTGGTGCCCACTCCCCTGACTAGAATCTGACCCCCAGTATGGCCAGGGAAGCGAGGAGTGCCTTTACTTAGTCCCACTTTGCATCAGATCCCAGCCAGGTAATTGACAGGTAACAAGGCCATCATAGTGCCACCCCAGCAAAGTGAGCAGGTGGCCATTACTTCACAGAGGAGGTGCTCAAGGAGTTCATGTGGCCTAGCCAGAGTCACATGCCTCTCAGTCCTGGGTCCAGGGGCACTGTACAGGGTACTCTGTCGGCCATCCTCCTTCTGCTTGACAATTTGCCCTGGGCCCGTGAATAAGCCAGGATCCTTCCCCAAACTGCTGGGGGATAGATTCATGAAAACCAAATGAATTTCATTTGGGGGATATGTATATATTTTCCACATAACCTACAATAATGTGTATTATTTGTGTAATCATAAAACATTGTTTGAAGAATCAGTTTCAGTTTGTAAACCACTGCCATACAAGAACCTAACCTGAGTCTCTGGACTCTACTTCAGCTGTTATTGGTCTCCCCTGAAGGAATGCTCAAATGCAGAGGGAATTGGTAAGATCTGGGGGTAGGAACTTAATGGCTGGTTTTAATGTCACTTTGCCACAACCTAGAGTCACCTGACAAAGGAGTCTCAATTGAGGACTTATCTAGATCAAGTTGGCCTGTGGACTAGCATTGTCAACTGAACTAACCCTTTCTTCACCTTTGGTGGGTGTTTTATCACGGTAACAGAAATTAAACTAAGACAGACCTGGAGTTGTGATACCAACATATATACTCTATCTGACCCTGACCAACTTCCTTAGTGTCTCTGAGCATCAGTTTTCCTCTTCTATAAACTGGAAATAATAATTACTTTATAGAATAGGATTATGAAAATCAAATGAGAGCATACATGTAAAGAACATGGCACACTGTCCTGTGGGCATCTAAATGAGTACACGGCACTCTTGCTGGCAGTGGGCCAGAATTGATCTTCCATTGACATTGTCTCATGGGGCATCTTACACATCACATACCCCAGGTCTATACTGGTCCATTTTAACCCTCCATCCCTTGCCAACTCTGGAGTTTAGTCAGGACTAAAAGTAAACCTACCAACCTCTAATCCTAACAAAGTGTTCTAGGAAGGACACCTCTCAATAATGGTTACACTACTGTCCGAAGATGCTTTCCACAAGCGTGGTGCAACCCCAGCACTGATGTGGCTGCCCTTTGTCTTTATTCTGAAGGTGTTCTGAAGATACCAATCCCCACATTAACTTACCAGAGTGGATCAATGGAAGATGCTCAGGCATTTTTGTGCAAAGATGGGGACCCCAAGTCTCCAAGGTATGTATATGGTACCCCAGATTGAGTGCATGGGGTTGGGGAAGACCACATCCTTGTAACCTTGCTGACAAGGTTTCCATACAACTCATCCTATGGAAGAAAAGAAAGCCATCAGCCCAGGAAGCCAGAGTTCTATATTAGCCATGAGGTTGGGGAAATCAGGGTCTACTTAGGGCTCCATAGAGCATGTCTGGAAATATATCCATGCCAGCAGGGAGAGATAGCACTCATATCTGACAAAATAAGAAAGCAAGTTAGCAGTCTCTCAACAACGGGGTCATGACAGTAGTCAAACTTTTCAACTGGAGGTAGCCAACACTTTTAGGAAACAAAATAGAAATAGCATTGTAGAGTGATGGAAACTGCCCTCTTAAAACACTTCCTCCCCCCCTCCCTCTGCTTTCCTTATCCACACCCCACCCCAGCCTGTGTGTGTGTGTGTGTGTGTGTGTGTGTGTGTGTGTGTGTGTGTGTGTGTGTGTGTTACTATGTCTTGTGGTCATTTTGAAAACCCCCTTTTGTGGTATGTTTCAGATTTTATAACTTGTACAGTACTTTGTGCACTTTTTAAACAACCCACAACAACACATTTTGCATATCAGTACATGTGTATAACTGAGATAGACATTTAAAAACCAGTGTTGACTCTCAGTATTACAGGACTCAGATGGGCTCTATGTGCAATGTACTCTGGCACTTTCTCTTTCGTTTTGTTCTACTACAACCCCCCCCACCATGTCACTTATTCTGAATAGTGATGCTCAGAACAAGGGCACATAAGCATTTCTTTATGTCCCTGTTTTTAGTTCTTTCCAATGTGTACCCAGAAGCTGAATTTCTGCATCATGTGAGAAGTCTGTTTTCAACATTTTGAAGAATGGCCATACTAGTCCATCATGGAGTTGAGATTTTGAAGAAATCCACTGTGGGTCTTTTAGAGATGTGAAAGTGCCAGTTTTGTGTTCTCACTTTGGATTATTAAAACAGCATTTCTGCTAACAGGACTGGAGAGAAGGCTCTGCAGTTAAGAGAACTTGCTGCTCTTGCACAGGACCTGGGTTCGGCTCCCACCACCCACACTGGCTAGCTCACAACTGCCTGTAAATCAAGTCTCAGGGGATCTGACACCCTCTCCTGGCCTCCACAGGCACTGCACACACACGGTTCATATACAGACAAGCAGGCATACACATACATACACAAAAATAAAAATGAAATAAGATTAAAACATTCCTGATAATAAAAACAGCAATAGCAATCCCAGCTGACACTTACTAAGCTCTAAGTAGCTTCAGGTTCCATGACAGGCACCTTCTTTAATCCCATCAATGCTATAGATGTACCTGCAGATGCATGATGCCCTGCAGATGTGTGATATCCTGCAGATGTGTGATGTCCTGCATAAGTGTGATATCCTGCAGATGCATGATGTGTTGCAGATGGAAAGGGTGATGTGTGGTTAGAAAGACCAAACAACTCTCCCAAGGCCAGTGACAGGAAGACCCAGAGTGTGACCTACATGAAAGGACTCCACAACCACTTGACCGCCATGCCATTTATGCCCTTATTAATCTATCTCTTTGTCTCCTAAGGAGTTCATGTCATGTTCCATTCATTTTTTCCCTCCTTTAAATTCATTCCTAGTTGTTCAATGTCTGCGGTGTGAATGAGAAGTGAAAAGGTGTGAAATGGGTCCATAGTAGCCAACACTTAGTTCCTCTCCAACTGGACCCTGCTGGTTACGGGGCATTGGATAGAGTATTAGTGACTCTCAGGACCCCCAGTTACCCTGACCATCGGCCTCCCGACCTTTCAGCTTCTGACACTGTTAAACTGAAGAAGATCCAAATGTCTGTTAGAAAGGTTGTTGGGGTAGGATAGAAAGATGGAGAAAATTAAGGGGCATGGGAAAGGAAAGCAGCTCTCATTCCAGAGTCTCCCAGAGAGAAACTGAAAACAAGTGACAAAGTTCAAATGGCTCACACTGGGGCTGAAGGGATGGCTCAGTGGTTAAGAGCATTCGCTGCTCTTGCAGAGGATCCAAAGTTGGTTCCCAGGACCCACATGAGGCAGTCCACAACCGCCTATAACTCCAGATCTGGGGGGATCTGATGCCCTCTTTTCAACTCTATGGGCACTTACACTCACACATGTACCTATTCACATACACACACATATATGTGGACACAGATACACATTGATAATAATAAGTAATTTGTAACAGTTCAGGGGCCTGCAAGATGGCCCAACTGGTAAGGGTGTTTGCAACCAAGCCTGATGACCTGAGTTTGACCTCTAAAATCCCCATAAGGTGGAAGGAAGCTGTGTTCCCACCTCCACCCCATTTGCTGTGGCACGTGTGCATCTACACTTCATCCATACACATTAATGGTAGTAATAAATTAAAAAAAACCAGTAATGAAACTACAAAGTCATCCTTAGCTGCATGGCAAGTTAGAGGCCACCCTAGGCTACATGAGACCTTAGCTCAAGGAAGAAAAACAAAAACAAAACAAACAAAAAGCTATGCTTACTCAGGGCCAAGATGTTTGTGAACTGGAGTCTATATTAGCAATCCCCTCAACCCTTTAGTTCATCCAAGCAGTATATCTTATAAAACCATCTTACAGTTTTCACTTACCAAAGGAATTTTTAAAAAAATAAGTAAACCAACTCACATCTTTGACTTAACTTTTAAACTTTGCTTAATCTCTACAGCCTTGCTGTAGATCATACTCTTTGAGCTCTATCATTTGGCCACAAAATCATATCTATCATATATATCACCACTAAAAACACCTGAATCTTGTTATCCCTCTTGAGACACCTACATCCATGCCTGGGATATGTACTGTCCTTTTCGTGTGTGTGTGTGTGTGTGTGTGTGTGTGTGGTGTGCATGTGGTGTGTGTGTGTGTGTGTGTGTGTGTGTGTGTGTGTGTGTGTGTGGTATGCATGTGGTGTGTGTGTGTGTGTGTGGTATGCATGTGGTGTGTGTGTGTGTGTGTGGTATGTGGTCTGCATGTGATGTGTGTGCGTGTGTGTGTGTGGTCTGCATGTGTGTGTGTGTGTGTGTGTGTGTGTGTGTGTGTGTGTGTGTGCGCGCATGTATATGAGAGAGAGGTGAGGAGGAGAGAGAGGGAGAATAAACGCTCCTAGTTAAATCTGAAACAGGTACTGTCTCCTGTCCCCGAATAGACTTGCTAACTTGGCCTCATTCTGACTTCTTCTGAAATTCTTTTTTGTGACACAGTCAGTGTAGTGAAGGACCCAGCTTTACCTGTGTGGAGGTCCCGGGAACTCCTCAGGCTTCTGGCAGCAGAGCTGGGCTGTGTCTCCCCACCACCAACAATGTAGTGAGTTAGTTCCCTGTGATGCCCACCCCCATACTTACCCCCCCCCACACACACACCCCTACACACACACCCAGCACAAAGCAGGCCTCAGTCAGGCTCATAGGATTAAAGGAGTCAAGTTAAGAAACCAAGGGTCGTTCACACGGACACACAGGTTAGAGCCAACGAAGCTGCCATTTTCCCCGTGAAGACTTACCACCATTGCTTCCGGGCAGATTTGACCATCTGGTGGCCATCGAGCGTGCAGGAAGGGCTGCTGACGGCAATTACTACAACGCAAGGAAGATGAACATCAAGCACTTAGTTGACCCCATTGATGACCTTTTTCTTGCCGCACAAAAGATTCCTGGAATCTCATCAACTGGTAAGTGGGGCCGCTAAGAATTCAACATGAACACGTTAGTGCTAAGCATTTTTTATTAACCATTGCGCACAGGCCAGGAAAGGGTTACATGCTCAAACTGGGCTTTGTTTATTTCAGCCAGTCTAGACACTAATGACACCATTATTAAGAAATGCAACATTCCCTGAGGAGAAAGGGAAGTGACACACACAGAACATACTCCATTTGCCCAATTCAGAAGTAATTAAACTCATCATGAAATATTAACAAGAATGAAATCGAGACATGGCGTATCATTTTGATCATACAGGCTGGACTCTGTCGTGTGTCATCTGAAGAAACGCTTCACTTTTTAAGTGTATTAAATATGAGATGGGTAAATTATTATTAATAATAATATATTGTGATAATTTGTTTTGGTACTGAACTTTATACTTTTCCAAGAACTTTCATAACCATTACATTGTCTATCCTGCTCAAAAACCCCTGTGTGATAGGAAAGAAGTAAATGGGGAAACAAGGCCCGGTGAGGTTGAAATGGCCTAGCTAATTAGCATTGCCAGCAAGATTTTGAGCAAAGTGCAGCCCCCCACCCCCCTAGTCCCTACTGTTAAAGAATCACCTCACTGTTATGACTGAGCAGTCCCCCAAGGACACCAGCTCTCCTTCCTCCCTGGGAGTCATTAAAGCCTGTCTGTCCTTCTGTGCCTGTTACTCTCCAAGCCTCCAAGTATTTCCCAGACCCATTAGTCCCCTCTGACTTTTGAGGTTTTGAGGAGTCAATGAAAACCTTCTGGGTTGACTAGAAAGTTTCTGCAAATCCCCAGATTTTCCCAGAAGAGGCTGTGGGTGGGGCACATGCACTGTGGTCGGCTTGGTTGATTTCTCACTTCCTGTCACTCTGGGCTGGGCAGGTAAAGACCCACCGCCTGCAGGGAGGTGTCACCAGCACAAGGAAAGAGTCCAAAGGAGCAATTAGCTGGCAGAGCCTGGGAAGCTGCCAGAGCATCCCCTCCCCCACCTCATGTGTCCTGGCCCTCCCTGGCATCTAACATTCCCTTACACTTGCAGGTGGTTGGATTGTTTTTGTCATTCAATTAGGCTGTCACTAATGTAGAAACTGTTCTGAGAAAAGGGAGCCACTGAGTGTCATTGTACCCTTGTCTCCAGTACACCTGGTGACATGTCAGAACTGAAGACATCCCACCTGTGGTTGGATGTGAGGACCCTAGTAGAAGACAGGATCCCACTCCAGTGAGCTCCAAAATCAGATCCACTCCCAACTATCGAGGTTTCTAGAAGACCAGAAGAAGACTCTGCATCTGGTTATCAGAATTATTCAGAGGCAATCACTGACATGTGGGGTGGGGCTGTCTTGTTCTCTGTCCCTTTACCCTCATCCTGTGTACTGACTCTGTTTCTCTTCCCTTCAGGAGTGGGTGACGGAGGCAATGAGCTTGGGATGGGCAAGGTCAAGGAGGCCGTGAAGAAGTACATCAGAAATGGAGATGTCATCGCCTGTGATGTGGAAGCTGACTTTGCTATCATTGCTGGTGAGTACCTGCGTGCCTGCTAAGAAGAGCCTGGCTGGCCAGGGTAAGCGACCTGGCCTGAAGCTTGACCAGGCGTGTTAGACAGTTTTTAATCACTGTGACAAGTACCTGAAAGAAACAACTTCAAAAGAGGAAGGATGATTTGGGCTCACGGTCTCAAAGGGTTCAGAATACAGCTGCTGGCTTTATTGGTCCTGGGCCTGTAGCAAGGCAGACCGTCATGGTGAAAGGTCTGCCTATTCCATAGTGACCAGGAAACAGAGCAAGAGACCTTGTGTTTGCCTGGCAGACTACTGCTTTTGACCTCTCTGGGTTTGTACCCTATTGGACAGTTCTGCTCACACTCAGGTACCATCTTCTTCCCTCGGTTGCTGTCCAGCATGTCAATCTTTTCTGGAAACACCCTTGTAGACACACCTGTGTTGACAACTCTCCCAGACACCTCTCAATCCAGTCAAATTGACAATCAAGATAACCATCACACCAGAGCAGAAGCTTTTCTTCTCTCCAAGGGGCTCTAGAGGGCCCCAGGGTAGGGCAGGACCCTGAGTGGGGATTCAGCCATTAAGTTCAAATGTGTGCCAGGCATCGTTCTGGGTTCTGGGCAACTGCAGAGATGGTGTGTGCCAAAGAACCTTCTTTCCTGAGTTGAAAGAAAATGACCCAGATGAATATATATACCAGGTGATATAGTGATAAGAGGTTTGAGGGCAATAGGGCAGGTGACAGATGAGAGAGTGACAGGAGGGCCACTTTGATCAGTGGTCAGTGAGTGCCTAGGACATGGTGAACAGGGGAAGGCTTTCCCACAGCTCCTTTTACCAACTTCTGCCTCAGGCTCCCTGTCCTTCCTCGTGGGACCTCAGGACCAGCCTTTCTTGTATGTCCAGATGTTTCAAAGCTTGGCTTTCCCTTAGCCTCACCAGAAGTTTCTGGAAATACTGACACCTGAAAAAGGCTCTCTCCCCTTCATGGTCAGAATCAGCCTGGAAAGGAACAAACACTCTCCAGGATGGAAAACTTACTGGTGAGTTGCTGGAGGCTCACTGCACAAACCTGGGAGTTCAGCTCCCAGGGAGCCAGGTGTACACCTTTAATCCCAGCACTTGGGGGGCAGAGGTAGTCAGGTCTCTATGTGTTTGAAGCCAATCTAGACAGTGAGTGCCAGGGTTCCAAGCCAGCAAAGCCTATACAGCAAGACCTTGCCTTAAAAAACCAAAACCCAAATCAAACAAACAAACAAAAACAGTTCCAGGGGATCACCTTGATTTGGGGGAGCTTACTTCTGGGCACTCAACTAGGTTCTCATAGTGAATATCAGGGGAAAGTATCTTCTGCTTGTGGTGGACCTAGGAAGAAGGAACTGTTCAGAAATACACCATCTTGCTCTATTCTGAATAAGATCTGGCCTCAAAAGAAACCACAGCCTGCTATGGTGTGAACAAAGCCATACTTGCCTGGGAGAAGGGAAATACCCAGGTCCAGCCCACTGCCACCTCCCAGTGAGGGAAAGGAGATGCCCAGCTCTAGTTCTATGGAGTAAAAGGAAAGAGATTAAAAAACTAAATATAACACTAACCAACAGAGAGCAGACTTCAGAACAAAGGAAATTACCAGGAATAAAAAAGCACATTCATAATACACAAGGAAGATATAACAATCCTTTGTGTATATGTATCTAACATCAGAGTGGAAGTAGATATACAAAATATACAAGGGGGAAAGATCTGCAGAGAAAAGAAATAGACGATTCAACTATTATAGTTGGATATTTTAACATCCCTGTATCAGAAGTGGACAGATACAGCAAGCATGAAATCTGTGAGGACACAGTTGAACTCAACAACGCTGTCAATCAACCAGATTTAGTTGACATCTGTACTAGTTCCTTTTCCATTGCTGTGATAAAACGCTATGACCAGAGCCATGTAGAGAAGAAACTGTTCATTTCGGCTTGTGGTACCAGAGGGTCAGAGTTCATATGACAGGGAGAGTGACGGCAAGCAGCATGGCCGTGGGAACAGAGAACCGGGCGCTCACATCTTGATCCACAAGCACGAAGCAGAGAGAGCTGACTCTCAGTAGACCAGGCTTGTTCCTCTCAAAGTCCACTCCCAGAGATGTACTTCCTCCATAAGGCCATACCTCCTGCACCTCCCTCAAAGAGCACCACCAACTGAGGACCAAGTAGTCACATGCTCATGACTATGGGGGATGTCTCATTCAAACCACCACCAAATGCATATATTAGAAAATAAATAACTGACTTCAGTTATCTTAGCTTCCACCTTAAGGAAAGAAAACTATACATAGTTCAATATCTTTCATGAACATGAATATAAAAGTGACAGGGCTGGTGTGATGGCTCAGTGAGTTATAGCATTTGCCACCAAGTCTGATGGCCTGAAGACCCATATGTGCACACACACACTAGTGCACAAATATATACTTCATGCATGCACACATACATACATACATATATAAACAAATAAATGTAAAAGGCCAAAAATACTCAGCAAATGTTAAGAACAGACTCCAACAATATATAAAAGAAACATATCATTAACAAACTAGGATTTGCCGGGCGGTGGTGGCGCACGCCTTTAATCCCAGCACTCGGGAGGCAGAGCCAGGTGGATCGCTGTGAGTTCGAGGCCAGCCTGGGCTACCAAGTGAGTTCCAGGAAAGGCGCAAAGCTACACAGAGAAACCCTGTCTCGAAAAACCAAAAAAAAAAAAAAACAAAACAAAAAAAAAAAACAAAAAAACAAACTAGGATTTATTTCAAATAAGAAGGAAGATCCAATAATTAAAAATTAATCATATAATCCTAGATATTAGCAAACTAAAGAAGAAAAATTACATAATAAGGCAAGAAATACAGAAAAAGTATTTTTTTTTTTTTTTTGGTTTTTCGAGACAGGGTTTCTCTGTGTAGCTTTGCGCCTTTCCTGGAACTCACTTGGTAGCCCAGGCTGGCCTCAAACTCACAGAGATCCGCCTGGCTCTGCCTCCCGAGTGCTGGGATTAAAGGCGTGCGCCACCACCGCCCGGTCAGAAAAAGTATTTTTAAGAGTCCAGCCAGGAGTGGTATGGTAAAGCTGTCCTTTCTCACCAGTTTTTCAGCATCCTTCTAGAAATCCTAGTTAGTGCAATAAGAAAAAAAGAAAAAGAGATAAAAAGCATATGGGTTGAGAAGAAAGAAAATAATTATCTTTATATATGTCATGTTCATCCTTATGGAAAATCTACAAGAATAAACAAAAGCAAACACCTGGAACTAATAGATTACAGCAGCCTTTCAAGATACAACGCCACTTTTCAATATGCCAACAGTTTGCAAGAGGAATTTGAAATTAAAAATACGTTACCATTTATATTAGCACTTCTCAAAATGCAATACTTGCCGGGTGGTGGTGGCACACGGCTTTAATTCCAGCACTTGGGAGGCAGAGCCAGGCGAATCTCTGTGAGTTCGAGGCCAGCCTGGTCTACAGAGTGAGATCCAGGACAGGCACCAAAACTACACAGAGAAACCCTGTCTCGAAAAACCAAAAAATGCAATTCCTAAATATACAGCTAGCAACATGTCATTACTATTTATATAAGGAGAAGTATAAAACTTTGACGGAGGATAGCAAGTAGAACTAAATAATTACAGAGCTATCCCATGTTCATGGATGCGAAGACTCAACAGCGTCAGAATGTTAGTTCTCTCAACTGGACCAAAAATTCAATGCAAAATAAATGAACACTCCTGGGAGTTATTTCATGGATACTGTATTAGTTGTTTTTTTTTCACCCCTGTGACAAAACGCCTGAGAACAGGAATTTAAGGGGGGAAGGTTTATTTTGGCTCACAGCTTGAGCGGATATGGCCATCGTAGCAGCGAGAGTGTGAGGCCACGGGTCATATTGTATCTTCAGTCGGGAGGTAGGAAGAGATGAATGTTAATTAATGATGAGCTCACTTTTTTCTCTTTTCTTTCCTTCTTTCCCTTCACTCATTCGTGTATATGGTATAGATCCTCTGACCTCCATCTACAAACCACAAAGGACACAAGGAACTTTAAGAGCATATTACTAAAGGAGCAAGCCAGTTTGAAAGGGCTGTGTGATCTGAACCCAGCTATATACGATGTTCTGGAAAACATGAAATTATGGAGACAGTGAAAAGATCAGTGGTTGCTGGGGACTAGGAATCCAAAGTTCACTGTGTGCTCGCTCGTCTCACATGGGCCTCCAGCACATGGCCTTAAATTAGCTGCCTTCCATGGTCCCCTCTTGTCCCTCCCATCCCCCACCATGGGCCCTATGATCCAGGTATGATGGCTATGGCCATTGCTTAAATATAGCATGGGTTTTACGTTTCGTTAATTGAAAAGATGACGTCATAGGGAGACCAAAGGCGTTCTTAAAAAGGAGGTAGTGCAGGGTGATGGGCACGGGCAAAAATGTGCTGTGTCATCCCACCATGACACAGTCAGCAGTTTTAGCTCACATGCCAGCTTCATCCTCAGTGCATAACCATCCTATGTCATTTTAAACAAGGTCAACAAGGATTTTAAATTCTGCCTTTTCCTTTGTTACAGCTTCCCAAATACGTTTTTCTTTTCTACGTTTGCACAGAGGTTGAGGATGAGCTCTGAGTTGTACCATGAAAATCTATTCAACACTGCTCATCTGTACTCTCACAAATGATGTTATTTTGGATGAATGGATCAATAGATACTTAATGCTATATAATTGTACCTTTAAATATGGTTACGCTGGTGAACATAATTCCTATATATCCTTTGTCTTTTCCCCCCAAAGGTCTTACTATGTAGCCTTACTGGTCTGAAATACACTACATAGATATTTTAGATAGACATGATAGCTAGATAAAGAGAGATAAGAATATATTTAACACTACTGACTATACTCTTAAAGATGGCTAAGGTGGTGAATTCTAGCATGATATTTTTAGATAGATAAATAGATAGATGATAGATAGATAGATAGATAGATAGATAGATAGGCAGACAGATAGACAAATGACTGACTAGTAGATAGATAGATAGATAGATAGATAGATAGATAGATAGATAGATGATGGATGGATGGATGGATGGATGGATGGATGGATGGATGGACAGACAGGTAATTTGCTTGTTTTCATCCATGGAACTAGGTTCCTATAGCTCCCTCTCCAAGGCAGACCATAGAAACTAGAATTTCTCTCCCTTGAATGAGACTCTACTCCCACTTTTAGACAGCCACAAAGAAACTCTCCAATCTGCCCTTGTCTGATAGGTCCTAAGACCAGCCTGGATCCACAGGAACCCTGCTCCCTACCCAGGAAGAAGGACGTTGCACAGAGTCCAGGAAGAGCCCAAGGAAGCAAGCCACCCTGTCTGTTAACATAGACCTTCACCAAAGCCAAAAAAGACAGAGTTCAGAGCGCTTCCAGATAGATAGACACATGCTGTCCCTGGAGGGCAGAGTATCCAGGGTGAGCTCCAGGCCCCTTCCTGGGTATCTTGCCCTTATAGCTCTTCATCTGGATCTTTCCTAACATCCTCTGTAATAAAACAGTGTGCTCTCCCCTGTGGCTATTGAAACAAATTAATTCGATCATACAAGAGCTTTCAGGAACCCTGGTATACAGCCAGTCAGCCAGAGGCTAAGGTGAGCCTCCAGGCTAGCCCCTGACATCAGAAGGGAAAGAGGCAGTCTAGGAGATGGAGGCTTCAGGCCAGGCCATAGGACCTTACACAGTCACAGTTGATAGCATCAGAACTGAATCGGATTGGAGCACACTTGGGTTAGGTATCTGCTGCTGCAAGACTGTTAGATTCCTGGCAGAGAAAGACACCCATGCCCTCGGTGATCACAATGACCTCTCTGTTGCTGGTGTGAGGACAGTGAAGGAACCGTTTGTTATTCCCACATTCATGTCATGGAGATTTTAACACAATTAAAATTTAAAAACTAATTCTTAAGAGAAAAGGAATGTAGGCTCTGGAGGGAATAGCCTGAGTTATAACGTATGTCTGATTATTTGCTGTGTGACATTTACCCCTCTGTGTCTGTTTCTAAGTTGCTCACATGGTGATAATGATACTATGCCTCATAGGCTTGTTTTAGGGACTCCAGGAGCGAAGTCACACAAGAAATTTATAACAGGATGGCAGACTGAAATATTCAACCAAAGCAAAATAGTCTTTTCCCTTGAGTGTTCCCATAATCCTTTGGAAGCATCTCATTGATTGATTGTCTTCCCCTGAGGCTGACTCTGTGTACACTTTTCAGTTTGATGGCCCTCTTCCTTTATAAGACATGTTTATTTAGTGCGCTGTGTGTGTGTGTGTGTCTAAGTCAGAGGACAACTTGCAGGAGTCAGTTCTCTCCGTCCACTGTATAGGTAGGTCTCTCCGTCCACCGTATAGGTAGGTCTCTCCGTCCACCGTATAGGTAGGTCTCTCCGTCCACCGTATAGGTAGGTCTCTCCGTCCACCGTATAGGTAGGTCTCTCCGTCCACCGTATAGGTAGGTCTCTCCGTCCACTGTATAGGTAGGTCTCTCCGTCCACTGTACATGACTGAAATCAGGTCGTCGAGCTTGGCAGCGAGTTTTCATCCACTGAGCTGTCTTACCACCCCCTCGTCCTTAATAATGGTGCAGCGTCTAGAGTTTAACAGTCCTCCATCAGTCTTAGACAGGATGGAGAACTCAAGCAGGTGTTGGAGAAGAGTGGATGAAATCATCCCTAGTCCAGGGAATGAGCCCCAGGGCCTGGCTGACAGAGTAGGAAAGCAAGTCTAAAGGTGACTTAGGAATGGTCTTCAGCACATAAGGAGTGACAAAACCTCCTGTGATGGGCTGTCTGCTATATGCCCCAGGGGACAGGCTTCTGCGTAGCCTAAGGGTTGGAGACCAGCCCTTGGGACCGTTCTTTAGTGTGGGGAATTCTGGAATGGCTTTCTAGGTACAGAGCCTGTATCTTTTTCCTCTAGCAGTCATTAGCAGTGTGTAACCCAAATAGCTTCAAGCCCCCAAACTTTAGCTTGAATCAAACTTACCTATGAGGCTCATTAAAACGCACCTGCTCCCCAACAATCTTGCAGAAATTCTGACTCAGGAGGTTTGAGCTGGGGCCCAAGGATTTGTAACAAGTCCCCAGGTGATCCCAGTGCCTGCCGTCTGTGCCACCGCTCTGAGATGGCTTCTGTGGCTTGGAGGCAGCCAGTGGACCACAGGCCCTTTACAGTCCTGTGATGGATTTTTTTTTTCTTTTGCGTTCTAGGTGTTTCTAACTGGGGAGGCTATGCCCTGGCCTGTGCACTATACATTCTGAACTCATGTGAAGTCCATGAGCGTTATCTGAGGAGGGCAACTGGGCCTTCCAGGGTACCTGGGGAACAGAGCTGGACTCAGGCCCTGCCATCTGTCACGAAGGTAACACACTGCAGCAGGCCACTGGCCCAGATGCAACTGTCTTGTTTGATGAGAATTAAGTAGGCCTGAGTGTTCCAAATCACATGACCACATCAACCACCATGCTACCCATGAAGCCAAAGGCAAAGCTACCTTTGAGGGACTATCTCCCTGTTGGGTCAGGCTGGGAGACAAAATCAGACAACTCTTTTATCTACTTCTGGTCCTGGGTCCTAAGTGAGACCCATTTGGAGATATCCTGTCCTTTCTAGTTTGACTTTCAGCGAGTTGATTTTCCTCTCAGAGATGAGTCTTTGTCTGTGAAGTGGGTACAATCAGCACTGTTGAAAGAAGGGAATGCCTGACTGGTGGAGGCCATCATCTGGGTTGCAGTCAGAGTGGGGGGTGGAGTCCTTACTGTTCTCTTCACAGAACTGATGACTCAGTGAGGGTACTTAAGCATCTTGGGTAGCCCACATGCTTAAGGGTGGGGGCAGATTAGGTGGGAAAGGAGTCCTATGGGTGTAGACTGGAAGGAATCTACCAAATGAGGCGGGGGGGAGGGCACGCATTCCAGGTGGGAAGTCGTGAACAAAGGTTCAGTTTCTCCCTGGCTGAGTAAGACTGCTCCTAGATGGAAGATTGTAGACTCAGGTGTGATGGGTGTCAGAGGAGGGCTTCTGGACCTGGGATCCACAGCGAAAGACTCCAAAACAGCTTTCAAAATCATTCCCATACATGTGTTTTTCAAGCAAGGAACTCCGAGCCCGCTGTAGGCTTATCTAAGCACCTCAGAGTTGGCAAACCCAACCCTACCTTCAGCTCTAGACTCATCTTATAGACCAGGACAAAGGGCGGGCAGCAACCCTTAAACAGCTTAAGTGAACTTGGGTATGTCAGGGGGCAGCATGGGAAGCAAGCCAGCCCTGAACTCAGTGCTGAGCCTGAGTAGTGACGAGGCAGCCTCACAGGCTGCCCCTCCCTCGGCCCTCAGTCCCTATGACTATCCTGGAGCCATCCTGTTCACCAAAACTGATTCTAAACCCAAACCTCTCCTCTTGAAGGGGTGGGACCTGCCCTACCCTGAGGAGCAGCTGGTGGGCCAGACTTAGAGGACACAGATAAAGTATTGGATAGTCTCATGGTGAATCTGAAAAACAGTAAGTTGGGCCGGAGTCCTGGCTAATATATTAGTTACTTTTCTGTCGCTGTGATTAAACACCATAATCAGGGTAACTTAGAGAAGAAAGCATTTGCTTTGACTGACAGTTCCAGAGGGATAAGAGTTCATCATGGCAGGGGAACATGGCAGCCAGCTACAGGCGTGGTGGCTGGAGCAGGAAGCATCTTCAACCACAAGCAGGAAGCAGAGAGAGCTAACCAGAAGTTGCTTGTGAAACCCACAATGCTAAGCCTGTCTTTCTGGCTCTTGACTGGGGAGGTCTCAGGCAGGCCAGATGAGTAGAATTTCAGACCAGCTCCCTGGAAACTTGCTGGTCACTGGCTCAGTTCCTAGGGCTGTGTATCATGTAAGAAGGGACAGCCCTCCCAGGCAGCCAAGGGCTGGTGGCCCTGAACCCCAGTTCCTGGCAAACCTCCATCTCTAGAGGCCCTTGTCTGGTAGCCTCTTTTCTTTTTTTCCATCTTGTCTTGTGCATTTTCTGTTCTCTGGTTCTCTGTCTCTTTCTTCCTCCGGCCTCCCACCCTGTTGAATTCAGTATCTCTATGGGTTAGCATTATTACTTCCACAGAGGAGAGAGCTGGTGGGCTCTGGGTGGTGGATAGTACCAAGACCACCCAATAAGAGGCAGAGCTGAAATGGGAGTTAAGGTGTCTCTGATCCTGACTCTAGGCTTTCCTTGGGTGGCCCAGAAGCTTCTCAGGCCCTGAGACTGCTGGGGCAGGGGGGAGAGGTGGGTGTGGGACTCAAGTGACATTTTCATGAGGGAAACAGTCTTGTCTTCCTTGGGGGACCCAGAGGGCCTTCTGTTCTTTCTTTATGCTTCCTGCATCTGAACTGGAAAAAATGGGGGGCTGCCTCCCGCATGACTCCTGATTCACACAAACACAAAGTGTGAACCCCGCCCAGCCAACCCCCACAGCCTCACACTCACCCTCCAGGGATGGAAAATTCTCCTCTTGGCATGGATGCCCAGTCTTTCTGAAGTGTATTAACAATGCCTCGGTCTCAAGGAGGAAATGGAAAGGCATGTTTCTGAAGCAGAAGCAGAAGCACATTTGCGGAGCCCCTCCTGGGGGCCAGGCCCAGGCTTGTTCTGGGAAACAGTGAGGAGTCAGACATGGCCCCTGGGGACGGAGCTTGGGGAACACGGCTGGGTAACATGGACATCCAGATGGAAATCTCTCTCTCACTCTCTCTCTCTATCTGTCTCTCTCTTTCTGTCTGTCTCTCTCTCTCAGTTTGGTCTGAAATCCTAGCTCAAGCAACCCTTGCCTCAACCTCCTGAGTACTTAGAACTATAGGTGTGCCCGACTTCCCGACTCATTCTTATTTAAAAGATTTTTTCCAACTTGCTTGAAAATAACATCTTTTTCCCATAAATATCAGCCCGCCATGCCCCAGAATTATTAGCAGGTCACCACCTGCCCCTAAGCCTGGAAATTACCCTGGGACCTCTTTCCCCATCCACCTTGACTCTGTCGGGAGGTCGGCCTCGCTTTAGATCTCCTTCCCCCTCCCCTGCCTCTGACAGCCTCAGCCTGGGTAGCACCCCTGCTTCCAGCTCTGCTCCAGCAGGGAGGAGCGGCCCCCTCCACTTGGTCTCTTAGAACATGGTGTGGTCCTTCCTGGAAATCTGCTGGGGGTGGCAATTGGCCCAGCTCTTAGGGACCAGACAATTGGTCCCTGTGGCTCTCAGCGGCTGAGTGCCAGCCAGTTCCTAACCTGTTGGCTCCTCACACTCACCCTGAGGACTCCACGGTCCTCTCCATGTCCCAGAAGGATGAGAACAGTGAGGGCAGACAGCGTGCTGGGAGGAAATGGCCCCATGGTGCCACATGTATTGCCCCATAAAGAGAGGATATGAGTAATAAGGAAGAAAAGTGGGAGAATGGAGCCGAAACAAAGGATGGAAAATGCCCATCTGGGCTGGGTAGCCCCTGGCCAGGGGCTCTTAACAAAGACTTGTGTGGAAATGTGCTTGGACCTCCCTTTCACAGGGCGGGTCATCTGCCTTCACCCACGGGCAGAACAGAAAGACCACTGCAGGAATAAAGAGAGTGCTTCCTGGCAACCTCTGCCAATACTTCCCCGTGTGTGTGTGTGTGTGTGTGTGTGTGTGTGTGTGTGTGTGTGTGTGTGCGCACATATCCATATGTGTTTATGTCTGTGGTACACTTGTGTATTCACATATATGCAGAGGCAAGAGGCTAACATCCAACGTCTTTCTCAATTATTCTCCCCCTTATTTTCTGAGACACAGTTTCTCGATAAATCTGGAGCACACCAATTAGGCTAGAATGGGTAGGTAGCAAGTCCCAGGGATGCCCCTGTCTCTGCCTTTCTGGCTTTTACGTGAGTGCTGGGAATTGGGGTCTCATATTTATATGGCAAGCACTCTACTACCTGAGCCATCTCCCCAGCTCCTCATCACAATATTTGAAGTTTTGGGTGAGTGTCTACAAGGCCCTTTCCTCGGCTTATTTCTCCTCTTTAATTTCCTCTAATGCTAGTTGCCCTGTGTCTAAATCAATGCAGATCGCTCTAACAAAACACCATAGACTGGGAAGCCTAAACAGCTCATTCTTAGTTCTCACAGTTCTAGAAGCCGGGAAGTCCAACACTGAGGTGCCAGGAGATTCAGTGCCTTGGTGGAAATGCTCTTCCTGGGTTGTAGATGGCTGGCCTCTCACTGTACCCTCATGTGTTAGAGGCAGAAAGCATGTGGCCCCTCATCTTTTTATAAGGGCACTAATCTTACCATGGGGGCTCCACCCTCATGACCTCATCACAACCTTATTCCCTCCCAAAGACTCCATCTTCAAATACTATCATATTGAGAGCCATGAGTTGGAAGGGTTACAAAGCTTCAGTCTATAATAATAATTCCCCGAAAAGCATTCCCAGGGTGCTGTGGGATGTTCTGTATGGCAAATGTGTTGCTGATTAGTCAATAAATAAAACACTGATTGGCCATTGGCTAGGCAGGAAGTGTAGGCGGGACAAGGAGGAGAATAAAGCTGGGAAGTGGAAGGCTGAGTCAGAGAGACACTGCCAGGCGCCATGATGACAAACAGCATGTGAAGATGCCGGTAAGCCACGAGCCATGTGGCAAGGTATAGATTAATGGAAATGGATTAATTTAAGCTGTAAGAACAGTTAGCAAGAAGCCTGCCATGGCCATACAGTTTGAAACCAATACAAGTCTCTGTGTTTACTTGGTCGGGTCTGACGGCTGTGGGACTGGCAGGTGAGAGAGATTTGCCCTGACTGTGGGCCAGGCAGGAAAACTCTACCTACACCAGGGCACCCTAGTAAACTGAATTTGATGTTCTGTTCTGTGCCATGACTCTGTGTATCCTGTGAGTCCCTGGTTAGTCATCTAGCTTGGGACCACCTTGGGGGCTTGAACCTGTCTCACCCTTGAATCTCTGGCTCAGAGACTGTCACAGCAGGTGCTCAGAAAACTGATGCCTCATCCGGAAGGTGGCAGTCCTCTGATGTCTACATTTCCTGCTCCAGATTCCTTTGGTTCCGTCTTACCGTGGAGGAAGGAGAGGGTGTTTGATCTGGCCCCTCCTCCCTGCTACCTCCCTCTAAGTGTTCAATGGGGACAGCACATTAGTGGCTTAGACAGGAGGTTCTTTGGGACCTTATTTTTGGAGGGGAAGGAAAGGAGGTGGACCAGCTCCTACCCCTTAACCAGCAAGTGAGGTAAGGAAAGCAAGCTCTGGGCTTTCCTCACTGCCGTTGACAACCAGCGTCATTCCTACTGTGTGCCAAGGGCCAAACTGGGTGCTTTACTTCCAGTATCTCATTTAATCCTCAGGAAGCCCCTGAGGGCCACACTGCCACCAGCATCAGCAACGCCCCCACCTGACAGATGAGATTTCCAAGACACAGAGAGGCTGAGACACTGACAGGAAAGCCCCACATCAGATGTGTCTAATCCCAAAGCCCTTCTGGGGTCCAGCTGCTTTTTCTCCATGGCTCTGCTCCCTCCAGATGTTCCCATACCCTTGTTGAAAAATGGAGGCAGCAGCAGAACTTAGTGTTGTGCTTGCTAGATTTTTTTTTCCTGAGGGTGGTCAACATGATACAAGCTAAGATCATCTGGGAAGAGGAAACCTCAATCTAGAAAATGCCTCCATCAGATTGGCCTGTAGGAAAGCCTGTGGGGCATTGTCTTTATTGAAGATTGATGTGGGAGGGCCTGGCCAATGTGGTGGTACCATCCCTGGGCAGGTGGTCCTGTGCCGTATAAGAAAGCAGGCTGAGAAAGCTTACATAGAGAGTAAGCCACTAAGCAGTACCCCTCCATGGCCTCTGCTTCAGTTCCTGCCTCCAGGTTTCTGCCTTGAGTTCCTGTCCTGAGACTTCCCTCAGTGAGGGAGTATGGCCTGAGAGCTGTAAGTTGAAGTAAACCTTTTCCTGCACTACATAGCTTTTAGTCATGGTGTTTATCACAGCAATAGGAAAGCCAACTCAGGAGGCTAACAGTGGGGTCTCAGGAGGGCCTTCTGCCACAATCAGACCCATGGGAGCTCATCCATAGCTGTCTAGAGACTGAGTTGGTGGACGATTGCACCTCTGGTGTGCTTTAGGACCATACAGGCCTCCACCAGGGCATGAAATTCAGTCACATGATTTTAAGTGTCCAAAGAAACAGCTGATCTGTTTCAATCCTTTGCTCTTGTTTGAGACAGGGTCTCACTCTGTAGGCCAGGCTGTCCCAGAGCTCAGTATTTAATCCAGGCTGGCCTCAAACTCACTGTAATCCTCTTGCCTCAGCCCCACAAGTATTAGGATGACAGGTATGAGCCACCACATCAAGCTCTCAATTTTGATTTTCATAAGGAACTTTCCAACAGGTTAATATTTTTACCCCAAATTTTACTTTTTAAAAAGAGGCACTTTCCTGGGTGTTGTGCCACACGCCTTTAAGCCCAGCACTTGGAAGGCAGAGGCAGGTGGGTCTCTATGAGTTTGAGGCCAGCCTGGTCTGTGTAGTGAGTTCCAGGACAGCCAGGATTACAGAGACCCTGTTTTTAAAAGGAGGAGGAGGAAGAAAAAGAAAAGAAAAGAAAAGAAAAGAAAAGAAAAGAAAAGAAAAGAAAAAGGAGAAAGACAGAGACAGAGACAGGGAGAGAGATAGAGAGAAATACAGAGAGATAGAGACAGAGAGACCAAGAGGAACAGAGGGGGACAGAGAGGGACAGAGAGGGACACAGAGAGATGACGAGATCTCAAGCCCAGCTCTTTCTCTGCTTAGAGATTTATGCATTCCTTTCTCCCTTCCCCCACATAACTTTTATCTCTTCCTCATCTTTTTTTTCCCCCTCCCAGGAAGAAAAAATGTTACGCATCTTGGTACAGAACCGAGTCCGGAGTGGAGTCTCAGGCATCGTGGGCATGGAAGTAGATGGGCTGCCTTTCTATGGTGTTCATGATGAGATGGTTCAGAAGCTGGTGGATGCCACCACAATGCACATGTGACCAGCGCATTGTTTGTGTGCAGAGTCCATACCCAATGGCCAGCCTGTGTCTAGTTCTGGAGTCATTGCTCTATCATCCTTCACCCTGGCTTCTTCAGGCCACCCTTGCCGTCTGCTCTGAGGATCCTTCTGCCTGCTACTTAAGAAATAACTTGTGAACAGTTAACTGTAGGGCAGAGTATAAGAATAGGCATTGCCATGACCTGGGCTAATTAAGAAAGGCTAGAGTGTTTAACTCATGGAGTGTTGGGTTAGAACACTGGGGCTTCGTGCTCACCATGACCAGCAAAATACTTATACTTTTGAAGTGCTTTCTTTTTCTAATAGTATTCCATGTACTGTTTGGAGGGATCTCCCAGAAGGTCCCTCCAGGCATCACACCCATTGTCCCTCACCTCCATTTACCCCGACATTTCTTACACATCCTTCCCATCTGCTTACTCCTACCCCTAGCCACACTCTTTGCCCTCTTTGTGTGGGAAGGAAGCCATATTGCCAGTAGGGCCCAAAGGTGAGTCAGGCCTGCCCAGGACTCAGGCAGATGAGCTCATCCTGATCTTTCATAACCTTCAACCCCACATTTCTCAGCAAAATCAGAAACTGAGCCACTGACCATACCCTGTTATACACTTAGTCCTGACATCAGAATGACGGCTTGTGTGGGATCCGAGCCTACTAAGTGTTATTTCATTTCTTTAAACACCTCTGGTATGGTTCTTTAAGGGGTGTTCATTGTGAAGAAGGAACACATGGTATAGATTTTACACACCAATAAATCAAGGGTAAAGAGAAAAGTAATTTATAAATTTTAGTGTCTGTTCTCTATTTGTTATTTTGTCCAGGGCTCATGCCCGCAAGATTCTTGCCTGCAGGGTTCATATCTGTAGAGTCCAAGCTTGTGCTTGTGGGAGAGACTCAAAATGAGGGCCAGCCCTCCACCTGAGACCTCACAGCTCAGCAAACACACACACCTTGGCTCTGCAGCCTGGCTACTCAGGTCTCTGAGTTATCATTTTTGTTCAGTACAAATTCCACACCATGAGGGACTCTGATAAAGAGGATACCCTGACAGTTAACAACAAAAGTAGATGACTGCTAGGGAGACTGCCATCACTGTGGAAAGGCCGCCAGCAATCTTAGGAGTCATGTTTGGGGACGATATTCATGGATTTGGCTTTTGCAATAGTAATAGCAGAATTCTCCTCCAGCACTGAGCAAGCTGAAGAGTAGATGTGTTGTCAGTTATGCTTGCTGTGGGAAGAAATGTATGGGGAGGTGACTGAGCTATTTAAGAGAAAGGCTAAGACCCAATTAAGTTCACAGAAGGCAGCGAGGGCTTGTAGACTCTGAGTGGGGCACCCAAATGCCATCCCCTACAGGTAGATACACTTACAGCTGAGGCTGAGGTGCAAAGGAGGGTGGGGGAGACCCCTTCACAACATCCAACTCAAGGGCTGTTGCTGTTCCACTTCCCAGGACCTGGCTTTCCAGCTTTTCCGTTCCACATTGTGATTCCCACTCAGCCCTTGTTCTAGTCTTGTCTGATCTTAGGAGACAAGTCTGTGTTCATGTCTGTGATGGCTACCACCTACAAAAGCCAGTGACAGGAGAACAAGAGACGGCCTGCACGGAACTGTGGTGTCACCCAAAGTGAGATCCAGGCCTGGTTCCAGTCATTGCTAGGTAAAGGGAATCCATGGACTTTTTAGGATGCTGTGGAGAGGGATCCTGGGAAACAGGACAGAGGACACAATCACAAGAAAGCTGAGGAGCCTGGCTCACTGAGGGAGCATGCTCAATTCAAGTGAGCCAGCTCCTTAATCCCTGGATGAGCCCTGCACAACTGACACCCTGTTGCTTAGCTAGGAAAGGCGTTCCTCTGAGGTCATTTCTTGCCTCCCATTGCATGCCAACCCCAAGTTGGCCCAGCCCATTGCATCTACTACTTCCTGCCTGTTACACATGGCTTCTGCTGGCCTCTCCATGCAATTCATTGCTCTCTAGACAGGGTGGAGAAGGTGTGGCTTATTACCAAATTGTGTGTTCTCTACATCAGTGATGTGATGTGCTTGCCAGAAGTACAGAAGCAGAAAATGTAGTCTTTGGGGCAAGGTAGATGATGTCATATAGGTTCTGATCCAGACAGCACATTTGAAGAAGTAGATTTTGTTCAGATGAGAGATTAACACCTAAGCAGAGGGGACATGAATTGTCTATCGGATTGGCCAAAGCTCACCAATTTCACTTCTCTGCTTGTCACTTAGAAAAACTACATTTCCTAGGCTCTCATGCAGCTGGGGCCCATGTGACCAGGATCAAGCTAATGGAATATGAGTAACAGGGCTATCAAACACTTCCATACTTGGCCATAATTGCAAGTGGGGTTCTTTCTCTCTCTCTCTCTCTCTCTATCTCTCTCTCTCAACTTTTTTTATTAAGAAATGGTTTTTTTTTTTTTTTTTTTTTTTTTTTGGTTTTTTGAGACAGGGTTTCTCTGTGTAGCTTTGCGCCTTTCCTGGGACTCACTTGGTAGCCCAGGCTGGCCTCGAACTCACAGAGATCCGCCTGGCTCTGCCTCCCAAGTGCTGGGATTAAAGGCGTGCGCCACCACCGCCCGGCTATTAAGAAATGTTTTATTCATTTTACATACCAACCACAGATCACCCTCTCATCCCTCCTCCCACTCCCCCCAAGCCTTCCCTCCCAGCCCACCTCCCATCTCCTCCTCCAAAAAGGTAAGGCCTCCCATGAGGAGTCAGCAAAGCCTGGTACATTCAGCTGAGGCAGGTCCAAGCCCCTACCCCAGCATCAAGGCTATTCAAGGTGTTCCACCGTAGGTAATGGGCTCCAAAAAGCCAGCTCATGCACCAGGGATAGATCCTGATCCTACTGCCGGGGGCCCCTTCAGCAGACCAGGCTACACAACTGTCTAGCTTATACAGAGGGCCTAGTCCAGTCTCATGCAGGCTCCACAGCTATTGGTCTAAAGTTCATGAGTTCCCACTAGTTTGGTTTGGTTGTCTCTGTAAGTTTCCCCATCATGATCTTGATGCCCCTTGCTCATAGAATACCTCTTTTCTCTCTTTAACTAGACTCCTGGAGCTCGGCCTGGTGCTTGGCTGTGGATCTCTGCATCTGTTTCCATCAGTTACTGGATGAAGGCTCTATGATTACCGTTAGGGTATTCACCAATCTTATTATAGGGATGGGCCAGCTCAGGCACCCTCTCCACTATTGCTAGTAGTCTAAGCTGGGGTCATCCTTGTGGATTCCTGGGAACTTCTCTAGCACCAGGTTTCTCCCTATCCCCACGATATCCCTCTATCAAGATATCTCTTTCATTGCTCTCCCACTCCGTCCCTGTTCCAGCTCGACCATACTGTTCCCTTATGTTTTCATCCCCCATCCCCTCCCCTCTATTGCCCCCCTCACCCCCAGTTTACTCAGGAGATCTCATCTATTTCACAAGTCGGGTTCCCTTTACATTTCTTCTCTTACTTGTGTAGATGGTCAGGGGAAATCCCACAATTATGGAACTGCTACTGGAAAATTCTGTGGTGTCCCTTTATAGTTACCAGATGATCTCAGGGAAATTAGAGTCCCTTCTTGGGATTCTTAGTCTTGTTGATAAATGAATTTAATGGAACAGACTCAAATGGAAGCTTGAGGCTGGTGTTATTGGACCTTAACAGGAAAACTCCATGGCAGGAAAGCTGTAAATCTCAGCAGTTGCCCAGAGAGGGGATGGAAAAGGTGAAGGGGAGAAGAAGCCATTGACACTGGCATTAAGCTGGCATGGAGGTCACCCACACGGTGGCAGGCAGACACTAGGTGGTGACGGGGAAAGCGGGGGGGGGGGGGGTTAGAGATAGAGTAAGGAAGCCTAAAGCAACAGAAAAAGAATGTGTAGGTCTACTCAGCATCTGAAAGAGAGATAGAAAAGAGGAAAAGAGGAAGTTGTGTCATTTCTGAGTCAGAACTCGGAAGGGTGGGCAGAGCCAGCTGGACCTCAGGGCTGCTCTTTAGGGGACTATACTAGGAGACAGGAATTCTAGGAAGGAAAAAATACAATATCTCATTAAAGGGATAATTATTCCTTTTATCCCTTTAGCATGGGTTAAGATGGGCACTTCCTAGGAGTGATCCCAACTTCCTGAACTGCCCAGCTGGGTTAACTCTTCAGGGAAGAGGCAGTGGCACATCTCTACCAATCTTTACGGTAACGGAAACTGTAATGAGCGGATTGAAATCTGTCATCACTTGGGAAAGGACTTGCCAGAAAGCAGCCTTCTACTGAGCTTTAAGAAAAAGGTGTGTGTATGTGTGTAGGCGTGTGTACATGTGTAGGCGTGTGTACATGCATGTGAATGTAGAGACCAGAGGTTGACATTGGGTGCCTTCCCCAATAGTTCCCCACTTCCTTTTTTGAGCTAAGGTCTTTCCCTGAGCTTGGAGCTCACTGATTCAGCTATTCTGGAGCTCATGGATCATCTTAGTTTCTATTGCTGTGAAGAGACACCATAACCACAGCAACTCTTAGAAAGGGAAACATTTAATTGAGTGGCAGCAGGCACTCTCCTGATGATGCCTTCTCATTGGACATTTTATGAACATAAAATAAACCTGTATTGGTCACTGATGTTTGTTTTTATTTTTATTACTTGGGGCCAGGGATTGAACCCAGGGCTAACCATGAGATACGTTTTTGCTCCCCACCCTGTTTTACGGCACTGTGATTTGAATGGGGGTTACTTATTGCTCCAGTTCAATCTAGCTTTGACTAATCTGAGTTGGAAGGTTCATCACTGAGAAGTATCTTCAAACAACTGCACCTAAGGGTTACAGCCACAGTCAGAGCCAGTAGATAAAGTGATACTACTTTGGGGTCCTTATGGGTTCAGATGCCCCTGGAATGGCTTGTCTGCATAGAGGTGAGTTAGCTGCCACTGCTGGTGTCTGTGAAGGGTGGACTGAGGGACCCAGAAGAGGGACTTAGCAGTGAGGACATTGGGTATTGTGACCTCTCTGCTATGTTCCAGCACGGATAGAGAATGTCTCGTATGGCAGTATTCCTCTGAGAGTTGCTAACTGAAAGTGAGTGGGACTGAAATCTCACCATTTCCCCCAGAGCCCTGGACACAGAGACCAGATGAAGTCCAGGAATGGAAACTCCATCCCCAGATGTAAAAAGCAGTTGGGTCAGATTCCGGTTTTCTCTAGAATGCCCAACCAGATGGCAAGCAGCAGATAGGGTTGTATTCTGTAGTGAAGCTTTCTCCCACTCTTCTCGGGCCAACCCACAGGCCAGTGTGTGTAAACAGGAAGATGGGCTTTGTCTTACTAAACAACACTAGTGCGTAGGAAAGGAATTTTAATGGCTTCTGTCACCTTCAGTCCAAACCAGATGGACGTCTCCTCCCAGCCCTTCTCTTAGGAGAGAAAGCAGTATTAATCCTTAATAGTGTTCTTGCTTAGTCTGTTTGGAAGAAAGATCTATTCTTCCATAACACTCCAGAACTCCAGGAACCCGACCCACAGAGGGATTAAGTGGTCAAAATCAAATGTATGTTTCACTAGGATGTGCGCAATCCTTGCTGATAAACATGGAGTTGAGAGGATGCCCCGCAGACAGAAGCTGTCAACAAACAAGGTGGGCGCCTCCCAACACAACCCGATGATTCCGGGGAACTGTCAGAGAGATGAATGCAACAAGCCCTTCTTCTGGTCTGATGGGGGCTCACCCTCACTGTGGGCCAGCTACTCAACATACAGAGTACCAAGTGGTCAAAGACAGAGGGAGTAGCATTCCTCCAAAACACAGGGCTTGGCTTTCTCCTCAAAAGTCTCTGGGTGGATTTGCAACAATTCCCTGTACAGATGCATCTGGGTGGATTTGCAACAACACCCTGTACAGATGCATCTGGGTGGATTTGCAACAACGCCCTGCACAGATGCATCTGGGTGGATTTGCAACAATGCCCTGCACTGGTACCTGACCCTTGCCACAAGGCAGAAGGGAAGACCCTACTGCACTCGATGGCTTGGACTTGACCACTTGGTGGGTGCTCAAGGGCAGCCCACAAGTTGTCCTGGGTTTTCTCCAAGGTCAACCCCTGGATCTTCCTGAATATTTGGGGCCTTTCAAGGACACTTTGGACCTCCCTGGTGCGGGCGGCATCCCTGCCCATAAGGACGGCACAAACTCTGCTGTGATTGGTTACTTTGTTTTATTTGCAGACTGAAGTCACTACATAAATCCACCTCATAGTCCAACACAGGGACACTTGGCATAAGAGAGATGACAATACAAAAATACAGCTCTCCACAGTAAGGGGAGCCAGGCTCAGCTTGTTCCAGTCCATGCCAGTAAGAATCCAGAGTTGCAGGTCAAAACAGGGGGAAATACTGTGGAATGAAGAGGGGCAGAACACTCAGCGGTCACCATTGCCCCACAAGGTCCTAGGCTGGGGTAGGTGTGGGTCTCTCTGACGTGCAGCCATCTCTGGCAACTCTCTCACAAGAACTACTTATACCAGAGTGGAGCTTGAGCCCAGACCTGTGGTCAAGAGACATGACGATGTGTATGTTTTGTTAGTTTGGTTGTACCTAGGGACTCTGGGAAACTGCCACACTCCTCTCAAAGGCTGCTGGATGCTCTATAGTGTGTGGGGTGAAGGGTAGGAGTCACTGGCAGCAGTCACATGACCCGGGTAACTGTCTTGGCACACAGTTGCCATGGACAGCCTGCCATTTGTATATTCTCCCTCTCTCTCTTCCCTGGGGCTCTCAGGTCTAGCACTCTGGGCAGATGGAAACAAAAAACTAGTTAAGAAAAGCCCACGTCAGGAACTTGGCTAGGGACACAGCTTCAGGCCCAAGTCCTCTTACTTGAGTTTTAGGATGAACGTTTTGAAGGGCCCCTGGCATCTCCCCAGGGAGCCTTGAGGTTTGTTTATTTGCCTTCAGCCCTTGGGGTTGGTGAATTTGTTCAGTTAGCCCTGTAAAAGTGAGATGTGTCTGGCCCTGGGGCTTCTCCCCAGACCGCCACTCTGCTGCTATTCCTGCCCTACCCACAGCAGTCCCCCAAGCCCCACCCCCATTCTTCACCTGAACCAGTCTTCCACTCTAGCCTTGTTATAGAGGTGAGCTCAAGCATTAGTAGTGACAACACAGCTTCCTGTATCACACGAGACCACAGCACATTTGGACTGGTATCACGTGTGACGACAGGGGCGCAGGAAGGCTTGGCAGGTGAACACCCTGGTTCCTACTCTCCTCCTCCACACTCCAGCCCCGCTGCTCTTTGCAAACCTCCTGGGAGTGACAATTCTGACTCTGTCCCACCTGGTGACAGGTGACAGCAGAGAACATGAGAGAAGACAGGGCTTCCATGGACCAGGGGGCCCTAGCTGTGGCCCAAGACCACATTTCCTTCCTGAGGAAAGAGGCACCTGTACATGGCAATGTGGGAGACAGCCACCAGGCAAGCTCCAGACCACAAGGCCTGTTGGTGATAGCTCAGGCCTAACCAAGCCTCACATACAGATGACTTAAGTTAGGCCAACCCAACTGTGGGCGACCCTCCCCCTCCCAGTGAGTTAGGGGTCTGGAAGGCTGAGTGGAGCTTGGTTAACAATTCAGGCTCTTCGCCCTGGGCCCCACTTTTCCCAGAGGCCTCAGGGGCACCCAGCGGGTAGGCCTCCCTGGCCCTGCTTGTCCTGGAGCAGGTAAGGAAGGCGAGGCAAGCTCCTCGGAGGCGGGCTAGGTCCCTGTGAGTGGTCTCACTGACGAAGCAGTACAGCACCGGGTCGGCTACACAGTTGAAGCTGGTGAGGAGGAGGGAGAAGTGGTAGATGTTGAAGATGCTCTTGGCAAACTCACAGCTGGCCTCCCAGAGGCTGCGTACCAGCAGCAGCACGTGGTAGGGCAGGAAGCAAGCCAGGAAGATGACCACAGTGCTGAGCACCAGCCGCTGAATCTGGTCCTTGCGGCTCTTCTGTGTGCCGTGGCTACGGCGCACCGCCCGAAGGATGCCCTGGTAGGAGGCCAGCAGCAGACAAATGGGGAAGAGAAAGCCCACCAGGAAGCGGTAGTAGTTGATGCCACGCTGCCAGGACTGGATGGGGTAATGCTCAAAGCAGACTCGGTGCCGGTCCTCGTCCTCGATGACTTCCTTGTGCTTGAGGAAGTAGATGCTGGTCAGCAGCTCCTTGGCCCAGATGAGCACGCTGACACCCACGGCCGCCTTCAGGGTTCGGAACTGGTGGAAACGGAAGGGGTGGGCCACAGCCAGGTAGCGGTCGATGGAGATGCAGCAGAGGAAGCCCACGCTGATGTAGATGTTCTCATAGAGGAGGATGCCACACACCTGGCAGGAGAGGTCCCCATGGGACCAGTTGTCATGCTGGAGTACGTACTGCAGCCAGAAGGGGAGTGAACAGATGTAGAACAGATCTGCAATGGTCAGGTTGCACAGGTACACTCCCAGCTCATTCCGGGCCTTGATCTGCAGGTAGCCGAAGTAGAGGGACAGGCAGTTGGCCGGGAAGCCCACCACCAGCACAGTCACATAGACCACCGGGGCCAGTGTCTGGTGGATGGTGTGGTCGATGGGGCAGGTTAGTGAGGAGTTGTCTGTAGTGATGTTCCCCATCTTTGGGCCAGAAGGGGCCTCAGCCTTCATGGGCTTGGAGATGGAGTCAATCTCTCTATTGGCATCTTGTGTCTAGAAGGTAACTCAAGTGTATCAAGATCTGTTCATCATTGGTGGTAGGCGAACCCCTACAAGTCAAGGCAGAAAAGGCTTTAAATAGTCACAGCTAACATCCATGTAACCTACTGTATGCCAGGCACTGTTCGAGGTACTGTATTCATTTAGAAGTTGTTACAGTCAAGCAGCTCCAGTACAACTGAACAAGACATACCAAAACATGGAGGTGTGGCTATAGCTCCCCATCTCTGGCTTCCCTTCTTTATCCCCTGTCCCTTATTTATTTTCTGGTCCCTTGGTGCAAGCAAGGGAGGTCAAAAGGAGATCTAGGCGCATAACTCAGCCTGGTTCTCCAAAGGAGGCTGGAGGCAGAGTACTTCCAACCTGTCTGCAGTGTGAGGGCGCCATCATCTTACACAGCAACAACAGTCTGCTAACATTATAGGACTGTAGTGACCAGGCCCAACACTGAGGCCACAGCCGCTCCAGGGACCTCTCCATATGGCATCAGTAGAGACACTCCCTGGTCCACATCTTTCTGTGCTTTGGTAAGAAACAAAGGACAGATTCTCATCACCGTGCCCTGTCCACGTCCCTGCTACTCCTCACCAAGTGTTACCTCTCTCACCTCCCCGATGGATCTTGGCCAAGGCTCTGTACTAGGGATCAAAAGCAGCAAAGGTCAGGTCAAGTGCAACTACTTGCCTAGGTTTGTGAGTCTTCCTGAGCCTCAGTTTCTTCATCTGGAATTTGGGGATTAAAACCACCTTCCCTGTTTGGTCAGGACCACATCAGATGGCGGCTGGGCAGTTGCAGTGTTTATCGGGGACAAAAGGGTCAAAGATGCTTCACTTTGTCCCCACATTAGTGAGATGACCGCATGGAGAATGTTTGTTTGTCTTGTTTTGGAGACAGGTCCTGGAACTCGCTCTGTAGACCAGGCTAGCCTTGGACTCACAAAGATCTGCCTGCCTCTGCCTCCCAAATGCTGTGCATTGAGAATTTAACAAATGGAACGCCAGGCTACAATCATGTCTAAGGGTAAAATGCAATGCTTGGTTGCCAGCGTACTTGATAAATTAACGCATCAGAACAGTAAAGGCTTGAACTGTTCTATCGACTTAACCCTTCTGTCTCAGCTGGGAAATCTCACCAGGGTTACATCAGCATTTTTCTTTCCTTCCTCTTTTTATTATTTGTTTGTTTGTTTGTTTTTGGAACAGCTTTGTCTACACATGTAGTCTCCTCAGTGCTGGGGTGACAGTGCACGCCACCTGCCCTGCTCGATTGGCATTTTCAAGCCATTTTTGCATTCCTTGAAGAAGCTGTTTGAGGTACAGTATTTGCTGTCTCATGGTCAAACTTACTGTCACAGGTCTCCTGCATGTTTATGCTGAGGTCATCTGGGAGGTGACACAATGCTGTGATCTTTCAGATATTTCTTTTTCCCACTCTACCCCTAGCCAAAAACTCTTTCCTCCCCCTTGAGAACCTACAGTCTACCCGATTGAAGATTCTAAATTAAGCTGCTTTGTGATGCCTGCAGATCAATACTGGCCTTTGTGCTCTCTTCAGAAAGCTGAGGGCTAGCTGGGCTCCTGAGGGAAGCCTCTTAGAGGCCATGACCAAATCTCAGCAGACCACAAGACTCCAAGTTCCTACAGCTCTCTCCAGAGCCAGGCCTCCCCGTCCACCCCAGCTCTCCTCTCCACCACTCCCTCCTATCTTGCCTTGGTTCCCACCTGGCTCAGGACCACTAGAGCAGAGATAGGTAGAGGAGCTCGCAAAATCTACCGGGAAGGGGCTCAGGGAAATCTGGACCCCGCAGCTCCAGTCCCAGGGTCCCTGAGGGCTAACACAGGGAGTTTCTCTGAAGTCACACTCAGTCTTGTAGATAACTACGCACAGTCACCTGCTCTGATCTGTGGTTTCTGGAACCTTGCTCTCAGCTACCCAAGGTTAAATGTGGTAGAGGGAAAAAGATGGGTGGGTGTAGCACACTAATATATTTTGAACTTGAGAAGCTGAGGCAGGAGGTTTCGATGCCACCCTGAGTCATCTGGTCACTTAAACAGTAATTAAACAAACACTACTACCACATATATTATATAGACACATATGTATGTGGTGGTGGTGGCACATATCTATATATCTGTAATCTCAACAATTATAAAGCAGAGGCAAGAGGATCACTGTGAGTTCAAGACCACCCTGGGCTAATTGCTTAGTAAAATTCTGTCTAAAAACAAAATGATGTTTTGAAAGAGAGAAACTATAGTCACATAAATTCATTACAGTATACTATATAATTACTCTTTTTATTACTAGTTATTGCTCACATCTTTCTATGTCTAATGTACAAATTAAACTGATCATAGGTACTGGTGCATACATGTTTGATAACTCATGGTGTAAATAGAGGTCAGTACTACACACCTGTGGTTTTAGGCATCTGCTGGAGGTGTTGGATGTGTGCCCTTGGGATAAGGTAGACCACTGTATATTCAGTTTTCCTGGATAAAGGGACCAGGATTCTCATGTGGGTTTTTTTGTTTGTTTGTTTGGTTGGTTTTTTGTTTTTGTTTTGTTTTTTGGTTTTTTGAGATAGGGTTTCTCTGTGTAGCTTTGCGCCTTTCCTGGAACTCGCTTTGGAGACCAGGCTGGCCTCGAACTCACAGAGATCCGCCTGGCTCTGCCTCCCGAGTGCTGGGATTAAAGGCGTGCGCCACCACCGCCCGGCATTTCTCATGTGTTTTTAAATGAGCAGGGGACGATGGGTCTGGTCCAAAGACACCCTTTCTCTCGCCTGGATTCCAGCTCTTCCTAACTGATATAAAGCCCAGTCCCCTCCTCTGCCCAAGCTCTCTCACCCTAACCAACTTCTTTCCTCAGAAGCACCTCCAGCCCCTCGCCACGCTCTACCCTAGCTCTCCTCTCCACCTCATGTCGGCCTCTCCCACCCCCATCCCAGCCCTCCTGCTCCGGCCCCGTGTCAGTCACAGTCACCCCCCCCCCCCCCGGAGAAGCAGCTGAACCACCTCCTTGCTTTGCACACTTGGAAGCAGCTTCTCTCACACCTAGACTGAAAGCCAAGTACCGTGGCCGACCCACCAGACCCCTGGTACTAGCTCCCTAACCTTGCCTGCCACCTCACCTGGTGGCCACGCAACCAGCCTCCTGTGCCTCTGTCCCTCTACCTGGATCTTGCCGAGCTACTTCTTCCTAAAGTTCTCCTCACTGTGGTACCTGCCCCACCCACAACAGCACCTGTTCCTGCTCTGTTAGAGATCTGCTCGATTGTCACTTCCTGGAAAGGCTTCTCCTGGCACCCACCTCACACACACACACACACACACACACACACACACACACACACACGCCTATCTCCATCTCATCATCCTGATGGACTGCTTCACAAGCTTCTCAGATTTATGTCTTCTTTATGTAACTTGTGTGACTGTTGACGGCCAGTCTCCCCGGGGCTGCAAATTCCAACATAGCAGAGGTCTTTTCCACCTGTCACGGATGTCCCCCCCACCTCCCAGCTGTATGGACTATTTAGGGACTTCTTGAATGACTAAGTAAGAGTCATTGCTCATTTTCCAGGTGAGGAAAGCGGGGTCCCCAAGGGGAGCCTTGGACCAGAGAGCTGGCTCAGCTGGTAAAGGCACTTGCCACTAAGCCTAATGGCCTGAGTTCGAGCCCCAGGGCCCACCCGGTGGAAGGAGAGAACAGAGTCCCACAAGTTGTCCTCTAACCTCCAAACATGTGCCTTGCAAGTGTAGGTAACAGAGTTCAGACCCCTAGAACACACGTGCATGCCAGGTGGGCATGGCAAACCAGCTATAATCTTGGCTTGGACAGCAGAGATAGGGGGTTCCTAGAACAAGCTGGCCAGCCATTTCAGGGAGTCCTGGTTTTGATTGAGAGACCTTGTCTCAGTGAATAAAAGGGACATGAAATGGAAAAGAAGAGGGGGGAGCACAGGCCCCAGGCTTCCACAGACCAGAGCAGACGAAGCCTCCTTGAGGCATGCCCTGTCAGGTCTTGGAAATTCCCTGATAGTCACCAGGCCCCAACTCTGTTGTTTACTAGTGGTGAGTGTATGGACGTGTGGGGTAGGGCGGGGTGAGGTTTGTAGCTTCCTCTTTCCTAAGCCAGCATCAAGCTACTTCTGGCAACCAAAGGCAGAAATACACAAGCCTGTAAAGCCAAGAAGCAGAGCTGAGCACAGTTAGGTTGAGGTACCTCCCACGTTCACTTTGGAGCAAAAAGAACAGCAGTTCTTGAACTGGCTGCACCCAAATCCACTAGAAGTTTAAGACATTGCAGAGGCTCCTTTCCTGAGTTTCCAACCTGGCTAGGTCTGAGAAATGGGGCTCTCGAGATTTTTACATTTCAAACAAGCTCCTAGGAGATGTGGAAGATGTGGGGTTGCTGGACCGTGGATCATACTTTGAACAGCAAGGCACCTGAAGCGTCTAGAAGGTCATAGGTTCAGATTCTAAGCATGCCCCCTTTCATGAGTTCCTGAGGCAGGGAGCAGATGCAGCTGGAAGGGACTGAAAACCCAGCAGGAACTTTGGGCAGAACAGGGGCCCAGGCCCTGGGCATTTCCAGATTCCCTCTGCAGGTAGGGACTCCTTGGCCCTCATGGTGTAGTGACTGCAGGCATTCCTGTGTCTACTCCCTTAGCTTACAAAAAGTTTTGCACCTCATTATGGTTCCACGTCTGTTCTCTGGTTCCACCGTCACAACCCTGTTTTTGTTTCTAGTTAAGACATAAGGCAACCAAAGAAACAAAGCAACTTGCCCAACAGTCCAGTACTTCCAGGTTTCATGGGAAAAGTATTTGTGGGACATGTACAGTGTTCATGGGGCCAGGCTACATACATGCAGAATTTAAGAGATAAAGTGAGAAAGAGCTCCCACCCCCAGGGAACCTCCAAGCCCAGAAATCAGGAAGGCCACATGCACTGATCATTGCCATGAGAGGCAGCGACTGGTGGATGTATGGGCATCTCTCACCCATACCTTCAGTGTTGGTTCAGTCTGGTGATTGCAATCCCATTACAGTCTGATGGCCCCCAGAGCTCCCCCTTGCTGAAGGCTGCATATAAACCACTCCTGCCACTTCACAAGACATGCTCATTGGGGTCCACACTAGGTCCCACATTTTCTCCACTAATCTGTTCTTAGAAAAGATGTTCCCACTTGTCCAGTTATTCACCTTGAATGGATGGCCTTTAGCTTCGTTCCTCCTTCATGGCTTTAAGTCAACTGCCAACTTCTAGAATTTCCAACTCCTAGGTTTTTAAAAGCCTCGCTCCTCTCTTCTGTTATCTCACCAGCACCTGAGATTGGCTTGGTCAAGACCTCCTTCCTGAAGTCAGTGCAATTGCCTTAAGTTAGGTTCATGTCTGTGACTCACCACCTAAACACCATCTTCCAAAACACAAATCTAACCAAGTCATACAGGGACTGTCCAAACATTCACCAATCCACCCACTCACCTATTCACTCACTTAGTCATCTATCCATTCCCTATCCACCCATCATCCATCATCCATCCACCCATCATCCATCCATCCACCCATCATCCATCCATCCATCCATCTACCCATCATCCATTCATCCACTCATCATCCATCCATCAACCATCCATCCACCCATCCATCCATCATCCATCCACCCATCATCCATCCATCTATCATCCATCTGTAGCACAAATCTTAAAGGGTCTTATTAATAAAATCAAACCTGAAGCCAGGTATTGGGGTGAATGCTGGAAGATCAGAGAAGCAGAACAAGCCACAGCTTCTTCACCTCGCAGTTCCTCAGCTGATCCTGTTTCCTCAGACTGGAAGCCTCTGAGTCCTCACCCAGAATGGATCTCAGCTGAACTGCTTCTCGAAAGCCTGAAGTTTAACCAGCTAAAAGCTTCTAGTTTCTGGTCTTCACGCCTTATATACCTTTCTGCTTTCTGCCCTCACTTTCTGGGATTAAAGGCTCACTTCTTGGGATTAAAGGCGTGAGTCACCATGCCTGGCTATTTCCAGTGTGGCCTTGAACTCACAGAGATCCATGCCTCCAGAAGGCTAGGATTAAAGGTGTGAGTGCCACCATTTTCTAGCCTCTATATCTAGTGGCTGTTCTGTTCTCTGACCCCAGATAAGTTTATTAGAGTGCACAATATTTTGGGGAACACAATACCACCACATCCATCCATCCATCATCCATTCACCCATCATCCATCCATTCATCATCCATCCATCCATCCACTCAGCCTCCCACCCATATCCATCTATCCAAACATTCTTCCTAGAACAGTCACTGAATGTCCACTGTATGGAAGGCATTACACTATACCCTGGCTCTAACAGCCAACTTCGTTTTATTCCCACGAAGAAGAACAGATCAATGAAGTAACCTCCTAGAAGAGCACGGGATTTTTGTGGGAGTTCTTTGGAAGTAGCCTAATGCAGTGAGGGAAGCTCTCTTGAGCAGCGACAGCCAGACTAAGGCTAAGAGAAAGAGGAAGGGCGGCCCAAACAGTGGGGAGTTTCTGCCTGTGGAAAATGCGTGTGTGCCACTAAATGCAAGAGGGAGAAAATATGAGTACCTTTGGGGAACTGAAAGTGGCTTGGCATGAGAACATAAGTATGAGGCAGACACGGCCAAAGAGGAGACAAGAAGCTGTATAGAACGCCAACAAATTAGAAAGGAAGTGAAAGATAAGGGAAATGGAGAGGTTCTTCAATGCCTGGTCCTCAAACCTCTCCAAAATTACTTGTTAGATGGATAGGTGGGTAGAGAGCTAAGTGAGTTGAGTGCGGGGTGGGAGGCAGAGGTACAGGTTAATGAATGGGTGGGAATGTAGGTGAGTGGGCAGACAAATGAACAGATAGATCTGTTGAGGGGTGTGCTGATGAGTGAGGGGCAGGTGGAGAAGGAGACAGTTGGAGAGGATGCGTGGACAGGTAGATGGGTGTGGATTTTGAGGCTGGGTGCTGGAGCAGTGAGGTCACTAACAAAAGTAGGGAAATGAGGAGGAATCTCTGGGGCTGCCTTAGCTGGATAGTGAGTCCCATCACAGCCAGCTCACACTCCTGCCACTTCTGAGGGTGAGCAGCCTCCAGGGGAAGCTGTGTCTTTCCAGGAAGACATCTGTCTACTCATCCACTGGAATCTATCTACCTGGAGTCCAGAAGAACTTTCATCATCACAAGCTGAACACCATGTTGCACACAGAAGTGTTTTGAAGTGGAAAACCTGAGGCACATCTGCATGGAGCTCTCTGCTAACCAAGCACAGTTCTGTACACACATTTCATGTCACCAATGAGAACACTGAGGGTCAGCGGTGAGCCAGCCTCCTGGAGAGTCCACAGCTGGGATATGGCAGATTGGGCTTTAAACTTTGGTCTCAATTTTCCTTTATCCATCACTTTCCAACCATTGGTCAGGGTCACCCCTGAGCAACCCGCTGCAGCCTCCAGACCTCCAAGATGCCACCACAGGGGCCACTAGGCTTTGCTGTGGGCTAGCCCCCTGCTCCCGGAGGGTGTTTCACCAGCTTACCTACTATGCACCCAGTCCTTGGTCTCCCATGGTGGAGGGACGTGCAGAAAGCAGTGGAAACAGCCATCATCTAGCTGAAAAGCTAAAAACTGTACACAAAGCGTCGCAACACCTAGAAGCAGATGCTTATACACATGCGAACCAGGGTGGAAGCCCCCAAGGGTTTGAATGACCAGGAGAGATGAAGCCCTGACAGGGAGGAAGCACCTCTCTGGCGGAAGCTCGTTCCAGGCAGAAGAGACAGAGAGTTGGATCTCTCCTGATGCGTGAATAATTACCTCCCCCAGCACCCGCTCTTCATGGTGTACTCGGCATGCACCCAGACAGTGTCTCCTGGGGCCAGGGACTGCTCGCAGCCTCAGACCACAGAGCTGGAGGTTTCCTGAATGCCTGCTTCCCTTCCCTCAGCTGACCAACCATCCAGACATTTACACAGGCTGTTTCCAGAGGGATTAGGGTACCCAACTGTCCTATGAAGGCTGGTTTCAGAGGAAGTTTCCCTGGTGAAGGGATAGAAATCAACTGTTTTTTCCTTCTATTGTTACCTTTCCCCTAAATTTCCCCCAAGTTCCCCCTGCAATGAAAAAGATAATCGAGTCTCATTTCTAATGTCCTATAACAGTTGCAAAGTCAGTCCAATTTAGGCTTGCCAAATCCCTGTAAGTTGGGTGGGGCTGGCACTGCTAACCCATTTCACAGAATCCGAAGCCTGGGGAGGCTGAACCAGTTCCTGGAGCTTACACAGTAAATCAGAATGGATCTGGATCCAGAACAAAAGCAGCTAGGCATTCAATTGCTACCTTAAAATAATCAACAAAAACAAACCACAAACAATAGCAAGAAATACACTTGACAGTGTGGCCCTGCGCGCGCGCACACACACACACACACACACACACACACACACACACACACACACAATGCTTACCTTGGTGCTTGTCATACATGCTGGTATTTTCTACTTCATTTCTTGTATACACAGGTCTTGGGCTAGTAGATTGATTTTTGTCCCACAAGTGGGTCAGTTTGGAAACTATCTAATCCCCATACCCATGCCTGGCTTTTCTGGAGCCTCCTAGAAAGGCAGGGAGGTGTCTACAGCCAGTTGAGGGACAGACGGAGAGCCAGCAGTGAGGTCCAGCCTCAGCAGTCCCAGGAGTCCTCTGCAGAAGAACCCAGCAAGAGTCGGCTCTGACTCAGTTCTACCCCCAAACCTCAACGACAGCTCAGCTTGGCAGTGCATGGACAACCCTGCACCCAGACAAGCTCTCCCTCTCTCAATTCCTGCAGAAAACCTCCCAGCTCATCTAGAAAATCCCCAGCTGGAGGCTACCCATTCCTGAGCTGAGGCAGAATCATGTGAACTCCAATCTGGTGTCAGGCTGGGCGGTTGCCGAGGAACCGCCCGCCAGCAGGAGGATGAGGGTGGCAGCAGCGTGGAACCCTCCACACACCCTCCATCCTTTAGGCTTTCCACATGCTCCAGGTGGAGTCAGGGAGCAGTCTCGATGGAAATACTCAGACTTGAATTAAGGCTGGTGCCCTGGAGTGGGGGCTTAGAAAGAATTGGGCACCCTAATTCCGGCTATCGCCACCTCGGGTACATGCTAGACACCAGGGGACAGAGAACATTGACCCTCTTTCACTGGAGCCCCTCAGGTCTGCACTGTGGCCGCTGACTTAGGGCCATCAGACACAAGGACAAACTGGCAAGTGGTAAGGGCAGGAAAACTGCCTTCCCTTCTAGCCTCAAATCCTTCGTCCCAGCAACTAACATCTGGGTTAGTGGGTCTCAGTCCTGGCTACATTTGTCAGAAAACACTTCAGAGCCTAATTAATATATATATATATATGAATGACAGGCCCTATCCCAGCTCAATTAAATTGCCCAAGCATCAGTGTTCTGCCAAGTTCCCTGGTCAATACTAAAATGGATGGGTAAATGGTACCTCCTCCACAGACCCACAGAGCAGGGGTTTTGGGGTCAAAGCTCTGGGCGGAATAGGGTGTGCGGCCCCGAGCGTCAACCAAGTGCCGGACCCTGCCGTGAACTCTTCCTGCTCCTGAGAGCCCTCATGAAACCTGACCAAGCTGTAGAAAGTTCCTCAGTCCAGCCCCTCAGTAACAAGTGGGGAAACTTGGGGCCCCAAGGGCCAGAGGCTCTGGACAGAGCCTAACCACTAAACGGATGACTGAGCTGTGACTGAAGCCTGATGCTGATGCCAGGGGCCTTGTTCTCTTGGCTTAACTACCTCCCTCCAAAGCAGGGTCCTCCGAAGCCCATCACAAGGTCCACCTGGAGCCTGAGCACAGCGCACATAGAGGGCCCAGGGGACACAGCATCACTGTGATGTATGAGTCCTGTCTTCTCCAGAGGGCAAACTGCTATAGGACAGTGTCAGTGGAGGATCCTTCCAAGAAATGCCAGCACATAACAGGCCTTTTTCAACTGTCACCTGCAGCAATTGCTAGTTGGAGGTCTTACGTTACAGGAAGGGCTGCCACTTGTTCTGGGGCAGCCATCTGCTGGGTCAGATGTTATGCCTGAGGTCTAGAGTGTGCTTGTCTTTCCACGATCTCACACCGGGCAGGGCGGGGGGAGAGCATAAGACTGCCTGACTACCCCAGGTCACAGAGAGCACCTCTGACTCTCCCTTACAGTGTGGCCCAGCTTAACAGGACCTATAGACACTGCACCCACACCATTACCTTGCACATCTTCAGGAACCAGTAATGACAGTGTGAACTCTCTCCAGGACACCCAGGGACCAGAAGAAAATGTCCTAGACCTCTGCTATCAAATGCACAAATCTTCACCTGGCACCCCCAACAAGCCTACCGAGCCTCGGGCATATTGATGGAGGGATTCCTTAGTCCATGCCCTCTGCAATGCCCATGTAGTAAGAGAAAACAGAGCCATTGCTGGGTCTTTGGCGCTGGGATTTTTTTCTTCAGTAGCGACACTACACAGTGGCCTCAGGAATCCTAGAAGTCCCATAAGCCTGGAGTTAGACTTCCTGTCCCACCATCTGATGACCCCAGCAAACCAAGGTAGAAACTGGGCAGATCAACTTGGGAAGTGGTGATGGAGCACTGTCTATCACCATCAGGGTTTTGAGGGACTCAAATTGGTCCACCAACTTGAAGCTAATGATGGTGGAGGGTCTGAGGGGCTCCCCAGTGCAATGTAAGCAATGCCTGCCTGTAATCAGCCATCTGCAGCTTGACTGCAGGGAGCCTTTCCTGGATCGTGTCCTCAGTAGCTGTGTATTAACAAGCACATGCTTACAGCCAAGGAGACTGTATAGGTCACGGGGAGTCCTGGTGGGGCCATGCGTTCCAAAGGGGTCACGTGTGGCTTAAGGATGGCTCTGAAGATTAAGACTCTTCACTCCCCATTGTGTCCAGCACCAACACCTTCTGGAAGAACTTGGGGTACGTCAATATCTACAGTAGCTACTAAGGATATGATTATCAACCAATGCATGCTCCAGTTTTGAGTTAAAAAAAAAATGTGTGCATGGGTGGGCACATGGACCACAGCGCATACGTGGAGGTCAGAGGACAACTTTGTGGTGGTGATTTTCTTTTTCCACCTTCACGTCTGTTCTAGTGACTGAACTCTGTCACCAGGCCCGCCCAGCAAGTGCCTTTCCTGCCGAGACAGGTTGCATGCTCTATTTCAATTTTTTTTTTTTTTTTTTTTTTGAGACAGGGTCTCTGTCTACATAACTCTGACTGTTCTGGAACTCACTTATGTAGATTAGGCTGGCCTTGAACTCGCAGAGATCTGCCTGCCTCTACCTCTCAAGTGCTGAGATTAAAGGTGGGTGCCACCACGCCCTATTCCATTCTTGTATTGACCCTGTGCTACAGGGTCACCCCTGCCTTATAGGTGAGGGAAATGAGACTCAGACAGAAACCAGTTTGTTCAGGGCTACACGGCCGGGAAGCACAAGAGCTAGGATTTGAATACAGGGCTGTTTGATCCCACATAAGGCTGTAATCCAGGGCTTTCCTGGTCCCATCGCTATTAAAGCAGATTGCCATGGAGTTGCTTAAAATCAACACACATCCTCATCTTACAGTCTAGGGGTCCAAAGTCTGATGTGGATTTTACTGGATTAAAATCAACCTGTCCCCAGGCTGTATTCCTTTTGAGGGGGAGCTCAAAGGGGTCATCTCATCTTTTTCAGCTTCTAGAAGCTTCTAGCATCCCTAGGCTGTGGACGTCTTTCCATTTCTAGAACTTGCAGTGGTAGGCTGAACCCTCTTCACTTTGCCTGGCTGTCTGTTGTTCCTACCAGCACGTCTTCTCTCTCCTCCCTCCTTTACCACTTTCAGGGACCCTTGTGACAAACTGGCTCCACCCAGCAGGTACAAGAAAGTCTCTTTATTTAAGTTCAGCTCACTAGCAACCTCAGTTCCTTCTGCCCGTGACCTTAAGTCTCTGTATAGGCAATACTGTCCCAGGCCCTGGGGGGTGAGGAACATCCTGGGTTGGGGAAAAGAAGACAAGAGACCTGTATGTTGCCCTCTATCCCCACCCCAAACAGGACAAGGTCTAAAGCAATGAAACAAAGACACAGGGACCAATTCATCAATGTGTGTGTACGATGGAGCCTCTGGGTGGAGATGAGCTTGAGCTGTGCCCTGAAAGGGTAGTGAAATTCTGGAGAGTGAAGCGGGGAGGGAGATTCTTCAGTCTCTTAGCACCCTGTGCTGCGTGACCAACTTGTAAATCACCCTTTTCCCAACCTCTGCTCCTCTTCCCCAAATGCCCCTTACCCATTATCTCCATATTCTTCTCCCCAGTCTGGAAGGCTACTCTTTCCCAGGTACTCAAAAGCACTGCTTTTGACCTTTGGGACACCTGTATCAGTAAACCCTGGGTGCCTATTGAATGCAGATTCCAGGCCCTGCCCCGGACTTACAGACTCAGAATCTCGCAAGGGCCTGGAGAGATGCCCAGTGGTTGGGGGCACTTGTGCAATCGTGAGGAGCAGAATTTGAATCCCAGAGCCCATGCAACAAGATAAGCATCTTGCGGGGCATGACAGCACATGCCTTTAATCCCAGAATTTGGGAGGCACATACAAATGGATCTCTGTGAGTTTGAGGCCACTGGTCTAACAGTGAGTTCCAGGAATCCTGAACTGCATAATGAGACCTTGTCTCAAAAAACAAACGAACAAAGGCACAAACAAGCAAACCAAACCAAAAAACGAACCAAAACAACCCTGGACCCTCAGAGAGATAGATAGCCCAGCACTTAAGAGCAATGGCAGCTCTTCCGGGGGACCCAGCTTCAATTCCTACAACCATCTGCAACTCCAGTTCCAGGCGATCCGACACTTTTTTCTGGTCTCCAAGTACACCAGGCACAAAACCGGTGCACCACATACATTCAGGCAAAACTTCCATACACATAAAATAAAAATAAGTATTTTCACATGGAAAAAAAAGTAACAATGACAGCAAAAGCTGGGTATCCACAAATACCTGTGCAAGAAAAATAATAGGGTCCATTTTCAGAACAAAAGTACCTTGAGGCCCAGCAACAAATGAACAGAAAGCTCTGGTCCCTGCTAATGCCAGTAAGTTTAGCTACCCCCACCTGAACTAGACATTTAGAGTAGAAAATTAGCAGCAGCCAGACTTTCCTCATGACCTGCAGAGGTCATGTCCCTGAAAAGCTAAAAATAAACAAATAAATAAAATAAGCAGAATGTAAAATACAGTGATAAACCCACTCAAGGCCTTCATTGAGAAACAGGGAAGCGTAAGTGGCAGATGACATGCTAGACCATATCCCCCTTCCCCCCAATTGCTCAGCCATTGAGGACAATGAGGAAGGGACCCATGTTCAGGTTATTA